CTAAAACTTTGGAAGTACTTCATTGAATGTAGTCGATAAAATATTAAAATCTTGCCCAAAAAACCTCAAATCAAGTTTAGTACAATAATTCATAATAGTGTTTTAATATTTCTTTCAGAAAGAGAAGTGAATAATGATTTTTTCCTTGACACTAACTAATAATTAATTTTTAATTACAATATTTTAAAAACTTGGAATTGTAGTTATTTTTGTATTGAAATGATAATTTATTATACTTAATGACTATTATTAATCTGCAAGTATATAATATAATATCGGCAGTACCCTCGCATGAGAGTAAAGAATTTTTTAATGTATACCTAAGTACTTTGGAAATATGTTTGTATGAAATTGATGAGTATAACTACCTACATAGGTACCTGCTACCTACACACTTCGTACTTGAGTTATTAATGTGGGTAAAACATACATTTTAATATGCCGTGTGCACTTAAAGAACGCGAATGTATATTATTTAGTTTATTAATTATTTCAATTCGAATTTACTGTTAAAATGTTTCTCATTTTTATCCGTTTAGGGTAGAACTGAGGTTTATTATGCTCGTTGTATAAAGTACGGTATGCAAAATGGTTGCTTGCGTTGCATTAATTTCAGTTACCTATGTAATTTTTAAGGACTAGGTTTGTAAACCTTAACCTTCTCGTGACAGAATTAGATATTTGTACGAAATAATTTCCGATGTTTTTTACTTTTAACATTAAACCAATAACAAACCGGCACCATAATCAATGGTCATAATCGCAAACGTAGGTATGTGTTATTTTTGCAATACTTGCAGAAATAATCTCGTGCGGTTCGTACGACTTCGGACTTGGCATAATATATTATTTACAAACGTCGGTGATCACACTAATTGCCAAAATATAATACTAATTTCGTATTCTATGTTATACCTATTAATATAATAATATTTTAGGTTTCTCATTAAGTATAATTTTTCCTCCAAGTATTATAATATATTCGAATTTTTTTTTTACGTAAAATAATTGGGTTTTTTTAAATTTTTAATTAAAACCGTCTCGCAGAAACTATAATATAAATAATTATGTATTCCCCCCTAGCCGCTGCTCAACACCTGCACACTCCAATCGATACCCAATAGACGTTATATTACTATTGATTGTTAATAATGGGATTATCTGATTTTGTCAAAAACCGTCACACTGACGTTTACGTCCGAATACCTTTCAAAGTTAATTTAATCACGACCCCGAAATTTCAAACGTTAATTCCATCGTTGTCGGATTATCACGACGTGTCGGGAAAAGAAAGCATATTGTATTCAAACGTCACACGCAGCGTTTTATACCGCATATACCGCACGGTATTACCAGCTCTATATACCAAGCAGCGACCGCGAGTATACCTTGAGCTAAAAATTTTTGGAAATCATATTAGTTTTTGTCGAGACAGACGGACGCGGAGTGATTGTGTTCGGGCGGTCGGTAAAAGTATATAATATATAAATGCGTCATGACAACATCCATTTGCACGACCTATTTAATTTTTTTTCTCCCATATATATTTTATCACATACACACGTATATAATACACTTACGTTTGTGTATGCGTTCGCGTTTTTTGTGTACGCATTTTTCACATTACTCTTTTAGGTCTGGAAAAAAAAGTAATCCTCATTCGTCATCAGGCCTCGGCATGTCACAAGTGCCCCCCCTCCACCACAATAACACTCTGCCGCCACCTAGTACTAATTCGTTTGTCTCCTACCTGCGCACTAGGTTAGGTTAGGTGACATTTTTTACAAATCTCTGTGGAAAATAAATGTTATAGGGACTCGTGGCCAATATATATATACATAGACTAATATTCTTTACATTGAATATCTTAGTTACATACTTTTCCAGGGCCCCCTCGGCTTCTACCGGTTTTCTTTATCCGATCATAAATATTCGAGCAAACTCTAATGAATTGATAGAAATTAAGTATCCCGTGTATACTCCCTAAGTGGTTGCATATTACAATGACCTAAACCAAACGAGTTATATAAACTTTCACACCGACAACAACTGACAACCCCCCACCGCTCAACCTATATCACGTGTTTTCATGCATGCACTGTCAGTTTTACCTTCGCCAACTATTTGAATAAAAGACTAAACGTGAAAAAAAACAAATCTATTACACTCCAACGAAGATCAAAAACATCCATTAATATAACTTACTCACTAGAAATCTCGAACCAATCTAAACCCATAGAATTAATTCAGTAGAACGCAGCCAAAATATCTAATATTAAAAAAATAAAAATCTGCCAATAAAAAATACTCTGTCTCATCACCAACGCTTATACGATGTGTTCGTCCAGGTGGTACCTGCACTTATAGTACTACAACTTCATACAATCATACATCAATATTTTGCTAGGAATTTTCTACCCTACTATATCTTCACCGATTTCCTACACACTGATCTGCACATAAACACGATAAAATAAGTTGTAAAAATACACTACCAAAACTTCCATAACCACAATGGAATTCCTGCAAGATGACTCAAGCGCCAGTGGCCAAGAGATTTTCTCAGCTACCATAGTAAAATGTCCTAAACACTGCAGTTATATATATTATTTATATGATTATACATGAATAATATTTCCTTCAACAAATGAACATGCCATTTCTATAATTGCATTAGCACTCTTGCTTATTGCATACATACCACTACAATGTACATAGATTGTAATAAATGATCAAAAATAAAATAAAATATAGAAGAGATGATATAAATTCCTACGAATTGTAAAATACATTATTTGTATACCACTGTTATACCTGATAAATTATGATATATCTACCTCTACAGTCTGCGGTTTTAACGTCAACTTAGTTTGATGAACTTTTTTCAATATGATATTAAATTTAGCAGACGGTTTGACATAAAAAAAAACTCAGTTTTGTCTTATAATCTTAATGTTATTATTATTTTCGGTGTAGGTACCTACCTGTACTTACATTGAATAGGTATATGTATAAATCAACTCTTTTAAAACACGCGATTACGAAGGATTACGTGTGGGTTGTAATATTTACTAACTTTTTGGTATCTATAGTTGTAGGTAGGTATTACCTATATGACTATTGGGGGCATGCGCATTGGTCGTATATTATATAGGTATTTAGAAATCCGGTCAATACGATAGTATATGAAGGTAAAAAAAAAAAATCTTAGTCAACATTCGGTTTTAGAGTTCTGGTGAGTTAAATAAAAAGAAAAACTTTTGAATGTTCTTTCGGTCAATAACTCAAGAACACTCAGCGCCGAGAGTAGCGAACCGTAGAAAATCTAGCATGACAAACAACTGAAAAAAAATCCCCTCTCTTCCTTTTGATAGTTTTTCATCATAGATCATTCCGTTATAAAACGTGTATAAAGGTATGTCGGTACATTTTTTTTTCTTTCGAAAACCCGATTTAGAACTCCGATGTACTACGATATTTGGTAATAATATTATGTTCATCACTGTATAATATAATAAAATAATACATTTATTTTGAACATGAAATTGTATTTACAATCATTTTGTTATAATATAATAATATAACATTGATATGATATCGTGATTACGTCGACTTACAGCAGCAGTTTATTATTATACCTACGTAAAGTGTTTTTAACATTTTGTTCACGATATAAATAATATAACATAAACCTATATTACAGGCTATTACTAATATTATGCATTATTTATGCTTATTCTTTCATTTCTGAATTATTGACAATTTAAAACTCCATATATTATAACGTTTTTCTTTTACTTAACATTCAATATATGCATTAATAATATAAAATTGTCGATTTTTAGCGTTATTAATACTTAATGGTTTCTCGTGTTTTTGTTTTAAGAATGTTATAGTACACTGTACATTTTTTTTTCATATTTATAATTTCGCAGACTTGTCATATTTTAAAAACTATAGTTAAGAGTCTAAACTTTAGACAATCTGAGGAAATCAGGCGATAAGTGATAACCAATGCGAATCCACTGTGTTTTATCGAACACAAATTAAAAATGTTAAGTCCATATTAATGACACACTCACAATAATAACGAATGTAATAATTCATATAAAAACTTGTTAAAATATTTTTTTTATTAATACCATCCTTGATTTTTGTTTAATATTAAAAAAAAACTAAGATTTGATGTGTTTGGACCGTTTTAGAATTTTAAAGCTTTTTTACATTTTGTAGGTGCAGATTATTCATATTTTATCAATTTTTGACGCACTGCAAGTGCACTGAAATTCAACATTTATTTTAGTGCATTCAATTCACAGCCCTGATAATATTATATCATCAAAGTTTTTTTAACAAAATACCTACGTATATAATATAGGTATATGATGTATATCTAGGTACCAGGTACATTGTACATATATAATATATATATACTCATATACCTCTACCTACTCAAAATATATAAACGTTATATCTTACACATTTTATAGCATACAAATCTGACTTCTAATTATATTACAATATTACACGAATGTCGAACTCGAACACCAGTAATGTTGTTTTATTCATTCTTTCATTCTGTTTTTATTATTATTATTATTATTATTATTATTATTGACGCATGAGAATGTTTTATACGAGCTCCAAAGTTATCGTTTCCACAATATAATGTTTTTATTGTGCACTAATGATCAAGGAAAGGGAACTTGTTATAACAATTTATTTAATGAGGGAGCTATAGGCTCGACGAGGCGCAGGTCTCTCATCAACCTTGCACACAGTCATAATAATATATTGATCACTCCCTTCTCCTCCTAGGAAACTCAACCGCCACTCCCTCTTCACATTTTACCCTTTTACCCTTAACGCCGGTGAATTTTGATAAGGTGTCAACTCACAATTAATATATTTCATTGACCTAAATCGCGATTTTTATAATTTTTTAATATTAATATACACATTATATAATGTTATAATATATAATTTTTTGTCGGTTCCAGGAACATATTTTTTGCTGTATGATTTTGTCGATTTCTTCGACCGGACGTCGGCCACCGCATTGCCCAAGGAAAAATTTGTGCAAATAGTCAACGTTATATTCAAAGACAGAACACAGCTGGAAAGAGACGCCATTATATATCAGGTAAAATGACGATTTTCCGTGCGTTTAGGTGTAAATGAAAATATTCTTTTAAAAAAATAAATAAATAGGAGAACCTTTATGCAGATACGGTCATATAAATATTCTATTATGTAAAAAGAAAAAGTTACCTATTATTCATGTAAAAGCGTCATTACGTGAACTATGAAAAACTTCAATTGTACGAGTAGCATAGTAACTGAAATGTAAATATTTTAAAGCCAACATTATACAAGTGTTTCTTATTATAACGGACATTGAATATGCGAAAATAAATGAAAAAATGTATATAAATTTTCTGCTAGAAAGCACACGGTGATCATGTATAATTTATCATATATAATATTATACTAATACATATAAAGCTTCCAAATAGAAACAATACGCGTGTATAGAATAAAGTGATCACCCGGAGATAATAATTATTTGTGACTTTGTGTAACCCAGCACTGCATAATAAGGTGTATAAATAACAAGCTGTATAAATTTGTATTAAACAAAATATAATGAAGTATTGAAGTGTACTCGCATTTTATATTTCTATATCAAACGAATATTCACAAACTTGAAATAATATTAATAATATTATCATCGTGATTTAAATAGGTAATTACTAATTATTTATTTAAAACGCCTTTCCGACTCAGAGAATAATATTTCATCAAGACTCAATTGTATACGTCTTAATAAAATATCATGGTTTAACTGCGTACAATTTCTCTCAATTATTAATTCTTATCGTCTTGTTTTTCTGCGCATCGGACATTTATTTTTTTTTGTAAGTTTTCGTTATCTTTCATACTAATATCTTACTATGGTATAATATACCTACCTGCGATATATTTTAAACTTAACTATTTACATTTTCAATAAAATGTTTACTATTATAATGGTTAAACGCCGTTTGGCTTTTGAAAACTACTGTAAAAGCTAATTGCATACAAATCAAAGTATGTATCGCAAATTAGGTAAAATATAATATTTAATGGTAGTTCACAGTACCCATTGTTAACTCCGTGGAATAGCAATTAGCAAATATTAGTGTTTGACAAATATTTTAGGAGAAAAAAGTCTATTAGGTATTTCTTACGTAATACATTCTAAAGTCTTATATACCTATAGGTTATTTTTTATATTCTGTTAATTGTATGTATCAAATGTTATATATTATTAATACACGGCATACATACCCCGTTATTATTGGAAATGTTCTGGACAACATTTTTACTGGGGCCATTATTTTCTTGAGAGTGTTTCTTGAATTTCGGACATCAATAACGAACCACTTTTTTAAAAAATGTAAGGAAATAAAAAATCGACTTGATGTTATACTACCAGAAGGTATAGCTAAATACGATTCGAAACATCTTAAAAATGACCTATTCAAAGTGGGAGTACCAGAATACTACCGCCATCCCTTTTCCAATCAATAAACTGATGTAAAAAACGTTTGTAACATTATGTTATAAAACTGCTAAAAAATTTATTTTAATGCATAAAATAAAATATTATATTATACAGTCACCACACAACAATATTATATATTTTAGTATTCGGGATGGGAAAAAAAAGAAGTGGACGACAAATATTCCAACCAAAAACAACTGAGCGACGTGGTTGCAGATTATTTCTTCGTTTGTCCAACCAACCTCTTTGCCAACATCGTGTCAAGTCGTGGAGCTCGGGTTTACTACTATTTCTTCACTCACGTGAGTAGTTTTTAATTTTTATAAATCCCAGTGAAATGTTCGTAGGTATTATTTTAGGAACCGAGAAGTATATAATATATTTGTAATCAGAGGTAAAAAAAAGTATCTTAGATAACTACATATTATAATATGTATCTGGTATTTTTGTGTTTTTTGACATTTGTAAATTTTATCTATATAGTAGGTATGGGTATCTTGTTAGATAAGTATCCTATTATACTATATTATTATATTATTATCTATTGTATCTGATACTTTTTTTGAAGCATCTTGCCTATCTTTGATTGTAGTTAGTTAATACCTCTCCCATGTGGCGGCGGGATATGGGATTATTTGAAGCAATTGCCCCATGTCTGAAATGGGTGTGTGGGTGTATAAATATATATACAACACAAATATCATGGCAATTAATATTATAATTAATAATTATTAATAGCCCCTACTGCTAATTTTGGTTTAATCATTTAATGAAGGGTGCGGTGGTAAAAATATTTAAAATATCAAATATCCTTCAAAGCCTCCACATGTTTGAGCCGCCACAAGGACTGGATTGGTCCGGCGAGTTACCAAGTAAAACTCCATGAGGGGCAGCGCTGACTGAAAATATGTTAAGAGTTAAAAGTTGAAGAAATGGAGACTATAAAATAATAAAACTATGCACGGGATATGAACGTATCCAAAAGGCCACCAGTTTGTAAGTGGACTCGTGAAGTACGGAAAACTTGGTGGGCCGAATTTGTCCAATCCGGCCCTGGCCGCCACTGACCTTTCCTGTATAACGGTTAACGGATAATGAATTTTTTTGTCATTTCATTTTAAACTAGTTATTTTTATAAACGTACCTATAATATACGGTTAGAAGATCATCTAATTTTCCTTTATTCCCTTCCCCCCTCAAAAAATAAAAAGATATACATTTCTGTTTTATATATTATACAATAATTGCAGCGATTGATCAGTTGCAGACTGCAGTCTGTATAGATAAGCTGATGCTGATTCGCATACTTTTGTTAGAGACTTAGTGTATTTAATAAATTATATAAATTACCATTGGCCGTGCTCATATAAATAACTCTCATCATAATAATATTATACAACGAGTTGAAATATTGCAGAGGACAGACTCACACTTGTGGGGTGATTGGATGGGCGTATTGCACGGCGACGAGATGCAATACGTGTTTGGCCATCCTTTGAACATGTCGATGCCGTACAACGCCAGGGAAAGAGACTTGAGCATACGAATCATGGAAGCATTCACCAGATTTTCGTTGACCGGGTAACGTACTTACAATACTCCACGAGTAACAGTATTATATTATTATAACAGTGTTTATAACTAAAAATCTACGCACACTTGTTGTATTTTAGCCAGAAAAGTAATGTATGGGAGCTGAAGTCTTACAGAATGTATAATATAATATATACAAGTAACCTATGTAATTTTTGGTGGGACTGAAGTCCCCCCACCTCCCCCCAATAGACCCCATGATTTTTACATCAATGATTTTGTGTACGTCGTCGTTGTTTCTATCGCTGAATTTTGTGTGTAATTATATCGTAGTTATCAACTGCTGTTCACACAATAAAAACAAAAAAAAATATATATATCCTTGAAGGGACTAGACTTGCCGCCGACATGCAACAATAATACACATTACGCACAGCAAATAGCCATACATAATATAATTGGCTGTGGTCACGCGGTCGGCAGTTTTAAAAAGGGTAAATATTATGCTACCCGCGGGACGATTGGCCGATAAGTGAAACTATTCAACTGAATACTGATAAACCAATCCAGACTATCTGCGTAATTACTTCCGCACGAACCTTGCAGACGTTCCTTCGATTGTGGGTACTTGTACAGTTGTACATGCTTATAAATAGTATATATATATATATAGCTGGTTTTTGGTATATATTATAATATGTAAGTATATTCGGTCATGCGGATTCTAACCGGAAAATGGGTTTCGAGATATTTATTTACTACATATTTAAATTTGTGGAATACGCGGAAATCTAATTTTTTTTTACTTATTGGCTTAACTTTTTTCAAAAACGTTTTACCGTTACTCTACATAAATACAGAGAACACAAACTACAAATCATGTTATAGGTTATATGAAGAATTCGTGTTTTGTAAAACTTTAATTATAATACCTAGGTAATATTATACTACCATCTTCCGAATTGATGAAATCGAAATTCAAAATACTTTAGACTAGCTTATTGTTTATACGATGTACATTGTATGTATATATAAATTATATATAAATTATATATAAATTTCTAAGGTGGCATTACTTGTTAAAAGTTAAGTAAGTTAAAGTTAATTTTTTTTTAACTTTTTAACTTAACTAGTTAATTATTTTTGTTTTTAACTTATTAACTTATTCAGTTAAAATGTTTATTGTTGTAACTTAACTTTTTACAGTTAATTATCATTGTCATGCAGTTAAGTTAATTTAATTTTTGAGTTATGCGTAATCAACTAGGCAATACCGATTGGTCGACTTTTTTACGATTTTAGTAATTTATTTTCGAATTATGTATTATAATAATTTAATTTTTTACACAGTGTTAAATATCTTGGTAAATGTTTTTGTATAACAAAATACTATGGTAGTATATTATGACTTAAAAATATTGTACCTTCAAAAAAATTAACTTTTTTTTAACTGAGATAAGTTAATTTTATTTTCTCTCTTAACTTTTAACTTATCTAGTTAAATTTTTTTTCCTTGTTAACTTTTAACTTAACTGAAGGCAATTTAAATGAATTAACTTAACTTTCCAAAGTTAATTATTTTCATTAACTTGCCCACCATTGTAAATTTTATATTATTAGAGATCAGCACGGACCATAAGAAGAATATTCCGGATTGGTTATGATTAGATCGTCGTACTTGGTTTTGGACCGGGGCGGAAACAAAACTTTTTTTGTAAATTTTACAATTATTACATTTTAACTGAAAATTGTTTATACTATATTATAGTACAAGAGTAAAATGTCCAATTTTGAACTGTGTATAATATAAAATTACGAACTGGTCGGGTTAGACTTAAAATAAAAAATTATGGACCAGGTCTGGGCAAGTAACTATAATTTTTTAATAAACTTTCGGGCAGTTTAGGGATGAAAGTTACCCTTTATGATCTTAAATATATATACATATTATATTAAATCTGTTTTATCGGAGACATTATCTGAATACGACGATGTACTTACCTATATTTAAAAAGCGTGAAAAAGTTGTATAAAACATATGATAAATATATTAGGCTGATATATCATATATGTCTGGCCTAACTAGGTATATATAATATAGGTATTATAATGTTTGATTTTTGTGAGCTTTGCTGCTAGATGATTAATTTTGATGGTACTTGGAAGTATAGCAAAAAACCAATCATAATATTATATACTGGTAGCCATACGCGTTATAAGCAATAACTTCCAATTTAATTTAAAATATCATTTTATCGGTTTATATCAAAATAGTACAAATACAAATTTTCATGATATTTACCTAACATAAAATATATATATAAATATACTACCAGTAGTACCACAGTACCTACAGCTATATAATATCGTTCAGTCGTAAACTGTTAATCCAAATTTCATCTTATTATAGGAGATAGTTAATAGTCGTTAATAGTCGTTTAGTCAACAATCTAAGACTCCTTTTTTTAAAGACGTTTAAATGTCACTATTTTAAATTTAAAAAAAAACAACAAATATTGAATAGTTCAATACCTAACTATATATAGTTCACAGTCCACAGACGCAGAAATTATATTTTCTAGTTGAGATCTTTATGTGGCTTTTACATTACATTCTATGGATATAGAATTATTATAACCATTATTAGTTATCTACTAACTACTAACGATACAATAAAGGTATTCATGAAATATGTTTTGATTAATAATATAAAGATTAAAGGTAAAACTAAATATTTCAAATGGATGACCTATAATTTAATTCAGGTTTTTTTTTAATTCATAGAGGACAAAATATAAATTTTATTTTTCAAATTATCATCTTTTCTTTACATGGGCAAAAATCAAACATAATAACAAAAATCCATTGTATTTTTATCAATAGACATAGATTTTTTTATTTTTCACATACTATTTTTGCTACATATGAAGTTCCATAAAATGTCATGTGATTTTTAACTCACTTTTAATGTTACTCAATTTTTAAGGTACAAAAACTGTAGAAGTCAAAGATATTTTTAAAAACAGTGTAATTAAAATTTGTAAGTAAAGTACCAAACATTTTTTTTTTAATAAGTTTGATATTCAATACTTAAGGAATTAACTAAAAACAAAACAAATGTATGGTCTTACATCCGAAATATTTAGTGTAATCTTAAATCATGATCACATTGTATAAGAATGGAAACTTCTGTATCTATGTATTATTTTAGCTAATATTGAATGTTTTTTTTTTAGAACACCTGTATCAGATGACATAGATTGGCCACTATACAATGAATCAAACCCAATATATCATGTTTGGAATGCTGCTGAATTACACGTAGGATACGGACCTAGAGCAGCTGAATGCCAGTTTTGGAACGGATTTTTCCCGAAAATCGGTAAGCCACTCTTAAAGATTGATTTATTCGTTTCAAATAGAAAATGAATTATAAACAATTATTAAATATATTTAATGTAAATTAATTATTGATCAGTACAAAGAATTTTACTGATAACTAATAGTCATAAATTAAATAAATTAATAAATTAAAGACAAATTTTGTGTTTTATAGTTAATGACTCGGTAATTTTTTTAGTAGATATTATTAATTTAATTAATACGAATAGTATGTACCTGTTTGGATTATGAACATTTCGTACTATACTAATTTATTATTTAAATTCGCAAGTGTTTGAAAGTATGAGTTACCAGGAACTTCTTAAGAATTCTTTGAAAGTGTAATGTGCTAATTTGATTTAATCCAATCCACAAAATGATTGTTTTTTTTCATTAGTTTCAAATTATATATAAAAAAACCTGTGTAGTCACATTTTAAACTTAAGTTATTATTCTTATATAATATTATATACAATATACAAAAATAATTCAACTATACATGGATAGTGGGTAGTGGGTACTGACTACAACTGTTATTATAATACATTTAAGATACTGAGAGGAGCAATGAATGTAGATATTTCACAAAGATGTGTGTTTTTTGTGATATCTGTAAACAATATATTTTATAGTAGACAAATGGTTCGATCTATAATTTTTGTTTTTAGGTCAAAAAAATGTCAAAATTTAATGCAAGATCTGACATAAGTTGCTCTTATGGAAATTAAAAAATATGCACGTTATTTTTATAAATGCTTTTGAAGTTCATTATTACACAAAATTAGTCAAAATCATGAAAATGTACTAGTTATGTTTTAATTTATTGAATGTAGTAAATGTATAAACAATTGTATTTATACACTTTTTTGTTTTTTTTTTTTTTTTTATTAAAATATAATTACAATCTATACAAAATTTAGTACAATAAGTAATATTGATATAGTATTTACATAATAACGTGAATGACAGATGGGGGAGGGCACTCAGTAGTGCCACCCGACGGATTAAATTAGAAGGTCTCTAGGCCAGGAGCGTTTTAAACGTCTCTGGGGACTTATACACTTAAGACTTAATAATTTGATACGAGATTCCTCACAAGTACAGCAATATAAACAAATTATACAATATATACTTAGTACTTAGTAATATAGGCTGGCAGACTGTCTCATCCGCTCAGAATCCTTTTTCATATATGCAATGATTTATCATTGAATTCAAATTGAACACGTCCATTACATAATGAGTTACTAAATGATAAGGTTCTATACTGGAGAGTGGTTACCTGCTTGCCTACATGCCTACATATTATTGCGTAATTTCAAATTGCAAAAGATAGCTCATAATCATTAATAAAGTTGTGAAATCATTCCAATTGTCAATTTAATATAATTAATGAAATCATAAAAAACTTTATTGGTGTGTATTAAAAATAATTTAATATATTATGTGTTTACTATTTGTTTAGCCCAAGCCTTGAAAGAAACTACCAAAATTACTTGTGAAGATTATCCAGACTCGATGCCCACTACCAACGAAAATTGTACGTTCACGTCATCGTTTGCTACTATCAATCCGCGAATCTCCTTCACCATAATATTCATCTTCGTTCTACCGGCACATGGATTGTTCTAAATGAAAAAAATTAAAACCATGACAACTTAAACATAACAAAACAAACAAAAAAAAAAAAACCATAACAAACAAAAAAACGAGAAGTTGAAAAACATTTAACGGCCAATAAGGGTGCTCGTGGCTCGGGACGTCGACACCGGCACCGGTTATGTTGCAAAATCAAAATTTACATATCAGAAACGCGCATATCATTAAATACGTAGACACAACCTAAATGGAATCTGAAACGTGATACAAGTGTTAGGATCAACGAGATTTGTCGAGTGTTAATTAGAGTAAATAATAATAATAATAATAATAATAATAATAATATTAATTATATAATAATATTAATGTCAAAAATAATATAATAATCATTATATAATCATCAAAAAAAAAATACTAACAAGTAACGATATAAAACGCTTGTTATCAGTTTCAAATAAACGCGGAAAGGACATTGTTTTCTTACGTGTGAACCCCAAATATATTACTATATATTATATCAATATATATGATATACAATTATAATATAGGTATATAGTGTCTTCTAGTCAAATTGTCCGTATAAATGTATAATAATATATCATATAGGTAGTATAATAGCAGTATATTAATGTATCACAGCACGTTCTTTAAACTCAAGTCCATTTCGTCCAATTACACTGGGATCACAATATCAACATGCAGACAATCTTAGCTCTTTAATATTGATAATAAAAATATCAACTATAAGTAAACTTTTTAATATAGCTCAATTACATTTATATGTACGTGTGTAAAACAGCTTGAGAAAATGAATCTTTTTGTACAATCTAGATAGTATATGTATCGTATCTTTTTAACGGATCTAAAGATAGATTATTTATGATGATCGTTTTTTTCATATTTTTATACCCAAAAAAAAAAAAAGATAATGAGAGAAAATCATGAACTTTTTAGAAATGCTGTAATAACAATCGAAATTTAACATTATCGTTTTAATATTATCAAAATCTATCATAATATAAAAATAATTAATCAAAAAACTGTTGCCAAACGAGTACAAAGCCAATGCATTCGTGGGTCGACATTGAACGGCTTTGCGATTATATGTTGTAAATCCGTTTTTAATTGATCAGACGATGTTAGGGATGTAGCTATAGGGATTTCATTTTTGAGCGATACATAAAAAATATTATGTAAACTATTTTATTACTTTTTGAAAGAACGGCTCACTCGTCTGTTGCATATTATATAAGTTTATAATTTTTTTTTTTTTTTGTAGACAGTTAAGATGTTATCGTCGTTGGTCATTCTTCTAACAAAAAGCTTTGTTCTATATATTACCAAATATAATATATGATATATCACATATTATAATTAATATATAATAATTAGCAGCATATACAACATAGAATATTACTTTATAATATACAAGCAGTTCGTTCTCGTGCAAACAATATTTACTTAGATACAATAAGAGGAGCAATATCGTTTCATGCATTACTATTTAATAATATCGACAAAATTATTTTTTTATTTCATACCTACTATAGGTACCTATCAATATTCAATAATCGTGCACTCGTATCCATAACTTTATCGTATCATCCAACCAATATTTTGTTTTCAAAAAGATATAACTATTTTAAAGATAATTTTATTATCTCATTAGGTTATATAGAATCAAACATTTCAATGCATCATAATTTATTTATTATTTCGCACCAAAAGCCTTAATAAGAATTGACACGTGGATTTAGATTTTTTTATGCTGAAAAGTATTGTAGTTACCGCCTTTGGTTTAAGACGGTGTGAATCCTTGTATTATAAATTATAAACAATTAATAGTTATGTACCTACCTAGTAATTCTAAAAATATCATGATTTTGGTTATAGTCATCATCTGATAATTAAAAAAATTGTATTATTTAAAAAGATGTAATGCTCCTCTTTTCACGCTAATAGGAACTAACTTAATCATATCATAATCACTGAGGTAAAACGATGTCACAGAACTATTTTAGTATATTCATTTTTGCTCATGCAACATATTATACTGTCGTTGGCTAAACAAAACACGTATTAAACATAAAATATATTTTTAAAGAACGCGCATTATATTTAAAAAAAATTAAAAATACTATATTGTTAAGTATAAAAAAAAATTAAAAACTTATGGTTACCTATCTAGAAAATAAGTTGAATGTTTAGCTTTAAGAGATAGCTTTAAGTAAAGTTATAAAATGATGCCTAAAATATTTATTTATAAACAATATTGCTAAACTATTGCTGCGCTCTAAAAAATGGCCTACTGTAATTTTACAAAAGAAAATATTTATATCTGCCTGTCAATTCCGTTACATATTAGCGTTTACATAAATATATATTTATATTTATATACTTTTTTTATATATAGTGGACGGGCTAATTTTATAAATATTGATTTTCTTACGCAGACTGCACACCCACCTATAGGCACTGTCTTGTAGCCGATAGTTAAGGCAAAACAAATCGTATGTGTATTTTATGTCAATTAACCAGACTGCGATTTTAGAAGAATAATAATATATTTGAAAAAAAATCCAAAAAAAAACTATAATAATAATATAAATAAAAAAGTAACGACATATCAATATTATATTAATGAACATAATAATAATATTAAATATAATTTTAACGCTTAGAAAATAGAATGTTTATTTTCGTTTCGCCGCCTTCCGTTACCTAAATATATTGTAATGTCGCTCTAACGAATACTTAACTTAAAGAACATAATATAAACCATAAAAACATCACTGAGTGTTTGAAATCCTATATTATTAAGGTTATTATATACCTTAATAAATATAATTACATAAATAGGATAATTATATTAATTATTGTTGTAAACCTTGTAACGTCACGTCGTGTTAAACTTAGACCTATTTTTGTACACAATTTAACTATTGAATATATTTATGTAGTAGGTAGATACCTATGTAATACTTAGTTATTAAAAAAATGGCCGGCTTCATTATACGTGAAATAGATAATAATAATATAACACTGTACATCAGGTTAGGTACCATAATGATAACTCTATTTGGTTATTGACTTTACGTTGTATGAATAATTACATATTTCCATGTTCTTCTTCATATTATTATTTAAACAGTGTTTAAATTTATTAGAAAAGCAAACAGAACAATTAATACCTATATATATATATATATAATATTTCGAAATATTATGTCGGTACCTACCTTATCGTATTACATATCATATATACGTATAATACATATATTATATAATATATAATAATAATATTATAATAATCGTAACATATCAAAAACTATTACGCATGCATATCGTTAATTTATAGAATTTTCATATTAATTTATTATAACATTGTTATATGATTTGTCTAAAACAGTTTTCGTCCGACAAACGCGTACCTCTATTCATCCGTGTAGATGCAGATACATCGTATTGAAATAAATTGTGTTAAACGCTAGGTTGTGTTTATAACCACAGCTGAACCATATAATACACATACGGTCGACTCTCGGTAACTCGAGCTGGTCGAGCATAACGGATTTCAAAAAAAATTGGACGAGGATCAAGGATTTCGAAATGGGCGCAGGAACTGGGCACCCGTCGATTTCGCCAATGTATCAGACTTCGATTTCGCCAGTACAGGTATAATAATAGCTCTAAAAAAACCCATCGATTCCGCCATCTATATACATTTTTAGCTAAGATGGCATACGCTACTCCTTAACTTCGGTTATTGATTTTAAAATTAATTTTAATTTTACGAGATTTTTTTTAGATATTATAATATGCCAAAGAAATAATATTATAAAATAATATGTTAATTTCTATATTTCTACACACTGCGGGCAACTAATGATTTCATGATGGAATATCAGACGTAGGTTAAAATTTTAAATTGTTGGAAATAATTTCTCACGACATAAACGAAGCATAAAAATAAACATATCGTAATAATATAGGTAACCAAAATGTACACGTGTGACTCAGTGAGTACCTACAAGTTTTAAAAACATTAATCTACAAAATAATAAATCAGGTACCTACTGATCGTCTAAATATTAAAATCATAATGTTTTAATGTGATATTCGATATAATATATTATTATAAAATATTAATAAAAATGGTAGATATTTTAAATTTTATATAAATTATTTTTTAAAAATGTTGATTAATTTTCAATTTTAAGTGATACACTTATAATAGGTACCAATAAAACTGTGTCTACATAAAAAATATTATATAAAACGATTGATGAAAGTGCAATTTGTAATTTTTTTGGGGAAGTTTATATTTTCTCTATACTTTTCTGCAGGTATCAAATATATAATATTGACATAAAATTGGCGGAATCGATAGGTATCGTTTTAGAACTATCCCTACTGGTGGAGTTCATGGACATTATTTTCCCCTAATAAAAAAAAAGCCAAAAGATCGATGAAATCTCGCTAGCTCGACATCGAGGCACGTGATACCTATACGTATATTGGTATTATTATATATTAATGTTATGAAGGTTATTGGAGGTGAATTTTATATCTATATCATAGTATCATGACGTGTGTGCGTGAAGAATTTCATACCATCAAAGTTTGAGATGCCCAGAGTCGACTGCAGCGTATTATTATATATATATACCTACCTATACCATGTATGTGTGCGTGTATTAATTAAATGTGTCAATCTATAATAAATGTGTATGTACAATTATGTGTATCAATAAAACTATATAAGAAAAATCAACTATTTATGAATATAATTTATGTTGAACGTCTTAGAATTTTATTATTATCTATCTTTGTTATTTTACTTTAAGTACTTATATAGGTATAGCATCAAAATCGAGTCCGGATTTAAGACCACTATAGTGGCCAGGAGGGGAGTCAGGTAGCAGGAAGGTCGATGATAAAAAAAGAACTCAGTCTTTTAGCTGTTCTTATCAAAGATTTGAACATTGTGTAACATTAGAGTGCTTTTACGCAGAACTTTATACTTACCGATACGGCTATACTTAGGTATTACCTATTGGAAATTACAACATTATGCACAATTCAATGAGTTTTTAGTAGGTATAAATAAGAATAATGCGCTTAAACAGCGGTTTATTAACTTTTTCTTCTAGTGGTGCCCTTTTTGGACTCATAAGCTTTTTCAGGGCACCCTTCCCAGAGTCATAAAAAAAACCAACCTATGATCATAATAAAGAGATAAAAAAAACAATAAAAACCAGAAAAAGTTGTAATGGATTATGGATAATAGGAAATATATATATATGGAAATATTAATTTTACTATAATCATATATATTGTTAACTTCTCTTCCCTCAGATAGGAACGACTATTAAATAGAAAGAACAAACAACTGATTTAAACAACAATAGAAACGACTTTATTAATCACTTTTAACATTCAAGCGCCGATCAACCTCGCGAAACAGCGAGGGCACCAATCGCTTCACTCGCTATGCAAATACTAGGGCTGACGGTATTAAAAATAATTTTCGGTATTACGGTATTGATTTCAATACCGGTTTGAAACGGTATACAAAAAAACCGAAATATTTCGGTATACCACAAAACCGAACTGTTTCGATACACCGAAAAACCGAAATGTTTCGGTATACCAAAACCGAAATGATACGGTATACCTAAATACTAATATAGTAATATGGTACTGTATACCGAAATAATAAATAAAATCTAACTAGCATCGATATTTTTACTTTAATATTGTTTCACATTATATACTTTATTATATACTATAATATAATACTGTAATATGTATAATTTTATCCTATTAATATTATAAACGTGAAAGTTTGTGACTTTGTTACTGTTTCACGTAAAAACTACTGGACCGATCTTGATGAAATTTTTACACTGTGTGTATTTTGGTAAAACTTAAAACATAGGCTAATTTAAAAAGGGAGAGGACCAACCCCGGGAGGTGCTCAAACGGGAATTTTGAGATTTCAGATTGAAATTTTTGTTTATAAAATATAAATGGTTGCCATGGGTTTTTAAGCTATTATAATAATAATAATAATAATACAAAAATATTTGCTTTACTTTTAAATAAATTGATTATTTTAATCAACCGTAGATGGAATTAAGTGAAAACGACAAACTTGGTATAACTTTGATACTTTAGAGTTAAATCATACACTTACGTACAAACAGCATGGGGTCCATTCAATATGATAAATTTTGTCAATATTTGAACTTTAAATAATTGTAAAAAAAATTCTGACAAAGGATTTTTAATATTTTTCAACTGCTATTGTAACAATGTAGTAGGAAACTTGTATTAAATTTTCAAGCTTTTTTTACCCAAAAAATAAAGTTTTATTGACATTCATAGAAAAAAAAACTAATAAAATTGGAAACTGGAAATGTTCCTAAACAGTTCAAAACAAATCAAAATGTTTTGAAAATTTTATCGTGTATAGAAAATGCAAATATAAACGTTTTAGAGTTAAACCAAAAACCAAATGTGGAAAACCGATTTTGCGTAAAAGTTTTCAGTTTTCCTTAATTTTTATGTTGTTTTTCCCGTCGGTTTTGAAAACTATTGGGAATTTTAAAATTTGACCTCCCGAATGCACCAACAAGATTCATTTTCCCATCGAATAAGATACTGTTAAAGAAACTCGAAGCAGTTTTACTGCCCTAAACTTTGATGATAGATACAAAAATAAAAAAACACATTGTAAAATCAATACATTCATCGTTCCACTCAGAATCTAAAAGTGTAAGCTGAATCAAAATATAACAACGATAACGATTAACGCGGCCACAGACGCACGTACTTATCGAACAATTGATATTGTATATTCGTATTATTACCTATGTGTTACATAGTTTTATATCGTACTTCACTAACGATTAAGATAAATTAATTTTTCTTTGTGATGTACGCGTTATAACATTCTCAGACATCAGATAAACACTGAGATTTAGTTTAGATTTTAAATATCCTAAAGATAAGTTAAATCGTCGGTTTTCAATTTCAATTTAAAATAAATCATTAAAATATTGAAAATTTTTTTTCAATTCTTACCTTTTTTAGTATTTATTTTTTTATTACCTTCTCCTCTTCCCCGACAATTTAATTATTGAATTGCTGCAGGGTAAATTAATTATTCTAGGACAGGAAGAAAACCTATGGAGAGCCCTGCCGCAATAATAACGAAATATTTTCGATGAAAATAAGTTTTTAACCAAATACGATTATGACACAATATTGTTCAATAATAGGTAAATTACATACATTTACATTATAGTCCCAAGTGTTCCAACAACATTCAACATAGAGCGAAAATACAATTCTAACTATATGTATTTTCAATCGGATATTTATCAATAAGAATGAGTATTTTTGAATTAATAATTGTCCACCTTTGTGTTACCTAGTGCCAAATATTCTATAATTGTTAAGTAGTCTATTAAATATTAATAACTAATAACTAATGTCTAATAAGTTATATTGTTAGATGATATTTGATATTTAAACTGGCGGGACAGTATGACACAGAACCCTATAGCTTCAGCACAGTAGGCAGTAGCACACCATGTCAAATCCACTCATGAAAGGATAAAATCATACAAACACAAATATTGTATGTTGGTATATAAATAGGATAAAAATATAGTATAATATTATGTACGTATGAATTACATAGCTACTAGCTCCAGTCTAGCATTAAAACCTAACATAATATGAAATGAACATGATTTTTTTTCTTCAAATAGTTGTGTAATCATTATAAAGTAGTTTATTTTGAAATAGTAAGCCATGTTTATTCTACTTAGATATTCATAAAACATTTATATTTAATAAATTAATTTTTTTATACTTTTTAGACATGTTTTAAAAATAATTAAGTAATCTTTTAATATCTTTTTGATTTAATTTTTTTCATAACATTATGTTTATAAATTCACCCACCGCATAACAATTATTTAAAGAGTAAAAACGGGCATGTTTCGTCTTTAGATATGAAATACAATTTTGGTTGTTCATCATTATAATATTTGGACTCGTAAAATCCGTAACATTTTATTAATATAAAAAGTATTTTAGATTTTCATAGTAGAAGCTAGAAGTAACTGTTTAAAATATTATTATTACACCGTCTGGCGGACCCCAGATATGATATATGGCATATTATGTATATTATGATTTATTTAAATCCACATTGGATAAATATTATTATGTCCATCGTCAGAAAGGTTTTTTGAAAACGGCGGCATCCCGGAGATACAGTGTTACCGCCTTTACAATGGAACGTGTATATGCCACACTGTCTCAATTTAAGTGGTGAGGAGGGAGCTGGGCCGTCACACAATAACCGACCGAGTGACCGACCCATGACGACAACGATCACGACGACTGCCGAGATAACGTTTTTTTATAGAATAAAATCATATTACTATATTCGCTAATCGCGGTTCACCGTTCGCGTCGCACTTGAATGCTTGACGCAGTTAATTGTTGCCATTAGTACCAGTGACACGTTTCCACGTCGTCTTCGTCGTTCGGTCGCCCCGTCCGTTGAATACGCCGCGAGGCCGCTGAAAAAAACATTCGAAACGCGCCACAGACCGCCGAAGAAAAATTCTGATTATAAAAACAATCGCCCTCGACATCGTTGATCGGTTTGGACCGCCGTGCCGATACGCAATTTCCCACTCGCGCGCCTCTTCCGATCTACCTCTCCACCTACCTAAGGCAACCTCCCTCGTACTTAAAACTTTTCCCTGAGAAGACAGTACCCGGCAGTCCGTAATGGCCAAAAAGACGTACGATCTGCTGTTCAAGTTGTTGCTGATCGGCGATTCGGGCGTGGGCAAGACGTGCATTCTGTTCAGGTTCTCGGACGACGCGTTCACCACGACGTTCATCTCGACTATTGGTGAGTGGGCGATATCTACGTCGTCAGTGTTGAATTTAGTTTGTTTGTCTGGTCAGGCCCCCGTGGTCTTTCGGTCTCGACAATCTCCTCTGACAGTTGGATCCATTGTCCTGACACATGACACTCAGTAGTCGATGGGACGTTGTACGTGTGTAGTGTGTACTATATCATAGACACACTGGAGACAATAACGACCTTCAGATCTGATGCATAGAGTCTGTGTGAGTCTGATGATGAAAGTTATGGGCTCGTTTTAGGGAATGGTTATTAATAATCATAATTGGTGTGGCGGTGTTGAACAGGTGTTGTTTCCGATTGTTTGATTAATATTCTTTCAAATTTGTGGAGTTATCTTGTATTAATTTTTTTTCTATATGAGATGATTATTATTTATTAATTAATGTAAAACAGATAGTAGAGGTACCTTTGGAATAAAAACAAACAATATTATTGCCTACATGAGCTTTAACATGTTTGCATATCTTGCAGTTAATAGATAGATAATATTATGTCGATTGCAATATAAAGTAGGTATATCCGTGTATATCAGTGGTATTTTATAAATCATCTTTGTTTTATTGAGGTCATTTGCATTAATTTATGCGATAACAGTGATGTAATGAGTTAAAAGAATCAATTAAACTGTTAGTATTCCTACTATTTCATGCTATGATAGATTGGAATAATAAAACTAATAAATATTAGATTAGGTACAATTACATGCTATAATATTATATGTTATTGTTTACAGTTAAAAGTAAAAACAGTTGTAGTCTCTTAAAAATATTTATGACCCAATCATAAATTTTGATTATTATTCAAGAATTTTTATTTGAAAATGCCTATCATTTAACTATTATGCTGGTTGCCATATTTACTACTCAGTAGGCGGAGCATTACAATTTAGTTTTTAAATTAGCAATTTCCTAATCATTTTAAGTAGGAGAAATGGTAAAATAATTTACCTCTTAATGGGCTGTTGTTTATGGGTTTAAACCTAAATTAAATGATAGTAACTACTAACTACTTATTGTACTACTCTTACAGAACTGTATGCACTAACATAACAATAATAATGTTCACTTATCTTTCAGGATTTTAATCAAACAAATACAAGACATTTAAAATCCTTATTATGTAATGAAGAAATTACTAATATTACCTACCTAGGTACTCTCATTTCTAATTGAACAAACCATATCATGTTTTATTCTGAAATAGTAAATTGTAAAAGATACCAAGTTTGGTAAGTTGGTAACCTAATAATAAAAGCTAAAAGAAATTTAATACATTGTTGTTTAAGTATTTCTATAGTTCTGATGTATGATTGTGTATTAATTTTATACCTATATTCATCATTCATAGTAGGTATACTAATGTAATATTCATAAGCATGCACCGAGCATCCTAGTAGAATAAATAAAAATATTTATTACATTTTATAAAAGTTCAATGACCCATCATATCAAAACATTAATTAATTTAGTTAGTTTACTATAGTTTCTAGTCAACTATTTTATCTTTATTAGAAATCAATAATTACTAATTTCAAAGGTAAAAACTTACTAAGGATCTATCATCAAAGTTAGGATACGCAGACAACAATTTTCTAGTATCTATATAAGGAGAAAAATAAGGAAATATTACAATGGATATGTTTTTAAAAAAAACTTACTAAGGATCTATCATCAAAGTTAGGATACGCAGACAACAATTTTCTAGTATCTATATAAAGAGAAAAATAAGGAAATATTACAATAGATATGTTTTTATAACATACCTACCTATATTAATGAGTCATCTATTAAAATTTGGTATTACCAATCAAAATGTAATAAAACAATTACTTAAGTACAGGTAATTTGATATTAAGTTAAAGAAAATTCATCATTTTTATTACTTTACTCATCCAACTGTCTGCATTTAGTTTTAATTTGAAATTAAATAAATCTATTATATTTCAGAGTTTGCAATCTAAATGTATCAATTAATATGTATTTAAATTTCATGTAGATAAGCATTATTAATGATTAAATTCACTTACAACATGATACGGTACCTACATAATTTAAAATCTAAAAGAACATCATAAATTATACTATATAACTAATAATATGATGATATACATTTCCTTGGAACAAATATAATTTATTAATATAGGTGCCTATAAGTATGTACCAGCTATGATTAAACTATGATTAATTTTAATCAGAGATGGTACAACTGGCCCTAAATAATAGGTAGACAATGGATAGAATTAATAATTAGAATTATGGTGTTTTAAATCTAGGTACCTAGGCTTAAGAATAAATCACCCGGAGTACAAATTCTGTTTAGCATAATATTTTGACTATATTTTGTTTGTTAGGTTTCTACATAAAATGTTAAATTTATAAATTAGTTAAATTTTAAAATTACTATTTAGGTAGATCAATAATTTCCGGAAGAGTTTTTAAAATTATATAATCAAGATACGTGGTTGAATATAACAAACTAATCTCATATCTCCATCTAAATAGTTCTTCTAGTATTTCATTCAGTACAACTTATTTAGTTATTTAGTAATATCATTAAATTCCATATCCGTTGGAATACCATTATTCTTTTTTTTTAGGTTTTTAATAAAATTAAAAAATTATTTTGGGTCATGTGAAAAATGGAATTGTATATTATTCATGTAGGTGAGATGTAAAATATAATGTAGATAGCTAATTTACATATAGCACCTTATCTAAAAACTTCATAATAATACCTATTTAGAATTCATTTTTTTGTTCAAATATTTGTGGTTATTAGTGTTTTTACCTATTGATTTTTTTCACTTATTATATGTTTTGTTGATTACAAGGTAGGTAATACTATTTGGGAAAATTTTTTGAACAATTTTAATTTTGGGAATAAATGTATTTATAGCACCATTTAATAGTACAAATGGTATCAACAAAGGTTAGAAAATCCAAAAATGATAAAGTGACATCACAAATAATAATAATATACTACTTAGGAATTTAGTTGAGAAAAATATAATTTTGTTTTTTAAGACTTATTACGATTAAAACTTTGGAACCAGTTATTTGAAAAAATGGGTGAATTAAATCGGTTTTGACCTTGGGGAAAATTATTTTCATTTAAATTAAGGTCTATATTATTCTTGAAATTATAGGATAGAATTAAATCAATATTAATATGATGTTGATACGATTCTAGTAACATCTTATAACATGTCAGTTTTACTACCTAGTTTTTTAACTATCCATTTGAGTTTGCATATATGAAATCACCTGCTATTATTAAAACAAAATATCAGTGCAAACATTTTGAATATATTCTAGTGGGATGTAACATGAATGAATTGTTATTCTGATATTGTTTATAATATGGACTTTATATGGATTTTATTACTCTTAATTACTCACAGCTCAGATTTGTCAAATGAAGCATCAGTGCATCGCATAGGTATATCAGCAGTAAATCAAGCCTCTGTTAAAATAAAATTATCAAAATTACTTATGCAGTATACTAGTCATATTTAATTGAACATTTAATAATTGAGTTTTTATCAATTTTTTATAAGAAAATACTATCAATAAAACTCATGTAATAATTACTTCATTGTCAGAATCCGACACACAATAGGACCAACATTATTTTTTAACATGGACAGATATCACATGTTAATTATGAATAATTAAATGAATTACTTTATTTTTAATATCAGTAATACTGTGTACCTACTATCCAAAACATTAAAACCAAATAGGTTCATATCAAAATTTAATTTAATGTGTTTTTTTTTAATTTGGTATTTGACAACAAAAATGTAAAAATATTAATTATCTCAATAAATTTAAAAATAATATGTATGTTAACAGTAAAGTAACATAAAGCTTTAATTTTTCCATTGCATGGTACATTGTGCCCAAATTGTGCCTAATATTATAGAGTAAAAGCATATTAGTGCATAAATCATTTGAAAATTTGGACAAAGGAATTTTTGCGATTGTACTCCTTAACTTTTAATCCATAAACAAAAATGTTACGTACCTACATCTATTTAAAGCTACCAAAAAAACATATAAATCATTACATGCATTATGTTTAAACAATTTTTGCAGATGTAACAATAGTTAAAGAATTTATTTTCTTCCATAATATGGTAGGATATTATCCTATATTATGTACTCAGTCTAGTATTGAAGGATTGTAGCACGTTCATTGCCCTCTCATTCAGATACCGCACATACTTATCTCTAATCTTTGTTAAATTGTGTGTCCATAATATCCGGTGCATAAATAACTATACTGCATGAAAAAATGTTCTAAAAGAAATGTACCAATTTATTCATGATAACTAAAACAAAATACAAAAACTATATAATTTATATAATTGTTAAAACTCCCATCCTCTGTCAAAATCTTATCAACTATAAACCCTATACATGCCACAGTTAGGTAAGAGGTAAGAATACTTAATCTAAGTGTAGGTTCAGCCTATATTTTTCTAATTGTGAATTATAATTATATATTATATTAATGACTTAATAATTGTTTATCTCTAAAATCAGAAATCACTTATCAATGACTAATCTACTAGAATGTGGTTATGTTGCTTCAAGTGTAAGAGCCAAGAGGCAAATATAATAAACCAATGTGTGAATTGATCCAATCTTAAATAAATTTTTATTTTACATATTAAAACTGGTAGGTACATTTTGAAGTGATTATAAAATATCACTGTAATACTCTTTTACTTATTGGAAACATGTAGGTAATGTAAAGATATAATATAGCTCTTGATGCATTCCTCTTAAAAACTGAAACAATTGTAGTCTTTGTAGTGAAAATAGTACATAGATGTTTACTTATATTTACTCAACACTGTTTTGATTATTAATTGCTACAATTTATTTTAGGTATTGACTTCAAAATCAAAACAGTGGAACTTCAAGGGAAAAAAATAAAACTTCAAATTTGGTAAGGACGGAATTTAAATATTAAATGTTGTTTACAATTAATTACGTAGTAGTTTTACTTTTCTTTTGTCTGGTTTTATTATGTAACAAATAGTTTAATGTTATTTTACTCAGAAGGTCATAAATATAGCAAACAAGTTTTTGTGTTGTTGTTATTATTTTAATACTATTGGCATTCTTATTAAAAATATAATTATTATATCTTTATTATTATTGCATACCAGTTTTAAATATTTCTAAGTAATGCTTGATTTTAATTGTTGGATTTTTATTTAAGAAAAACTTAAATTTTTATATTAATATGCAATACATTTTGTATTTTAGGGATACAGCAGGACAGGAGCGTTTCCATACCATAACAACATCCTATTATAGAGGAGCTATGGGAATTATGTTAGTATATGATATCACAAATGAAAAAAGTTTTGAAAATATAGTGAAATGGCTACGAAACATTAATGAGGTATATATGCATTTATTATTATTTGTTTATACACAATTAAATTTTTTAAGTTTTTGATATAAATTCTAAATGATCATTAATTATTTCAAATAAAGGTATAAATCATTTTTGCTGCCCCAAAAAGGTGATGAAAGACACACAAAAAACACAAACACATTAGTAAAATTCAAATAGTCATATCCAGTAAAGTTTTTTTTTTTTTAAATATATTTTATTCTAAACACATTTTTAGTTTATATATTTAATTTAAATGGGTTTATAAATTATAGAATGACTATTATGTAAGAAACTTGGGTTTCAGCATTAAAAATTCATTTTATATTTTTGTTTTAATATATTTAAATTAATTCTAAACTGGATAATAGACTTGAGTTTAAACAAATATTTAAGATTATCTTATCCACTCTATGTTCAATACTATTTAATAATTTAAGTTATAAGTAATGTAATATTAATTATTTCATTTAAAGTAATTGTTTTTTTTTCTTTTCAGCATGCTAACGAAGATGTAGAAAAAATGATTTTAGGGAACAAATGTGATATGGATGATAAACGTGTTGTTGGTAAATCACGAGGTGAAGGTATTGCTCGCGAACATAACATATCATTTTTGGAAACATCTGCAAAAGCAAATATAAACATTGAAAAAGCATTTACTGAGCTCACATTATCAATATTGAACAAGACGCCTGGACGTGAACCAACCGATGTACCTGAAAAGATTAATATCGATAGGAAATCAGACAGATTGTCTAATCGCTGTTGTTGAATAGTCAAGTATTTAATACAGACAATTTTAAATGGATACTATTATTATTGACAGAATTTGTGAAACACCAAGAGATAAATATTTTGCTAAGCTCAGATACAAATATACGTACAATTGTATATTATCATGTGTACTTTAAAACATTTTTATTTTGCAAGACCTATTAACAAATTATATATTATTTTTTTATTAAAACGCTTAGCAAAATGGTTTTCTGTGAAGCTGTTCCTTATCATACAAATAAATGTAAATATTTATGTTACCATTATTAATAATAATTGTTTGGATAAAAACGAGATAATCATGACATCATCATACTTGTCTAATGTAATAAAGCAGTTGATGTTAGTGGCTTGAACCACAACAATTTTTATTGGTTGTCCTCGGTGGAAGTTATTTATTATTATTACTTTTATTTTGTACAAAATTTCATAAAATCCTATTTATCAATTTAACCATAATACTGAGTGAGCTAATTCTTGTAGGGTTGTAATAAAATGTAAGATTTTTGCTTATAAGCTCAAAGTGTTCATAAACGGCTGTAAAAAATTTGTCTAATATAATTTACTAATAAAATATAAATATTTTTATACAAATATTATTTTATAAAGTAATTTCAACTGGCCTAACACTGTTGTTTTGTATTCATTTTGGCTTTTAGTATTATTATTTTTTTATTTGTATTTTATCACCTTTTTTTTGTTGTTAATTTATAATTCATTAAAAAAAAAATAGTAAAGGAAATATTCAAATTTGCGTTAAAAACAATTTATTTACCTGTTTTTTTAACTTCTTGTTACTTTATAGTTTATACAAATTGACACATTTGTGCTAAATGATTTTATGTTGCTTAAGGCCTATTGTGGACTGTGGGTTTTTTTTAACAAGATACTTAAAAATATTAATAATAATATTATTATTATGTTGTGTTAGTTTCATAATAAATATTTTTAATACACTTTTAGATAAAACTGCTGACCGATTTTCATTATTTCAAACCAGGCATATAAACATGATTTATATATACATTTAAACTTAATAATAATCTAAAACTGATATTGTTTAAAATTTGAATCTGTTCTTAAAATAATAAGGTAGGTACATATGATATGATATGAAGAAACAAAATGTGGACAATTGCAGTATAAGTGTATAACACTCAATCAAGCCTAATTATTTTCACGGTTTTTAATTTACAAAATTATAATACTAATAAACATTTTGATAAACTCTAATTTCTTCAACCATGGTAATAATTGAGGTTAATTAACAGTAGCCATCGGGTTAACTGTATACATAACATAAAACATAGTAAATAATATCTAAATGGTTTTCTTTATTTAAAGCAAAAATGAAAAAAGATAAATTATTATATTTTCATCTAGGTACTCTATAAAATATCTTCCAATATCTAGATTTTATGAGCCTCTAACCTTTATTCTAAAGGCGGTACTTCTGAATTGTCTACGAAACCTTTAAGTTTTTCGTTTCCCACTTTCTTCACGCTTGTTGATGAATTGGTTATATTCCAAAATTCCACTGGCTTTTGGCTATCAAATACTTCATCTGTTAATTTAGATTTACTAAAAAGTTTAACACATTTTTATTAAAACTCGCTACCCATAAGAATATAATATTATAATTTATAACCAATGCAAGTTATCGGTGCTTGTCTAAATCAAATTATAACTATTTAAAAAAAATACCATTTGTACTAAACATAATATTAATGTACCATGTTGTACAATGTATTCATTATATAATGATAGGTACCTATAGTAAACTTTTGTTTAGTTAAAACCACAATCAAAGATATACTAGAGTACCTATATTCTAGAGTATATCATTAACCGAGGTAAAAACTATGGGAAAAGAAAACGGAGATAAATAATTATAGGTACCAAAAAATTCGAGATAGGTATAGATTTTATTGTGCCTAATGGTAATTATTTCAAAGGAATTTTAATTGAGTTGGAGATAACAGAAAATTTGACAGTAAAAATTTACTGAATACGAAAGAAAAAATGGGTCATCTCCCAATTTGTGATCTTCCGCCGTTTTGTGTACAACACTACTACCTAATACTATATAATTATATAAATGTGAGTATTGAGTATACATACTAATAGCTTGTGTGCGGTCTACTAATATTATGTATTTTTGTGATTTATTTTTAGCTATTTAAACCAATTTATTTTAGTACTTCCCGAGGGCCATATAAAACTAAAGAATTTATATAGGTTAGGTAGGTATAGACTATAGGTACCATCAGGTGCCAATTGGTATTAATATATTATTTATACCTGTAAATATAGGTCTTGTATACCGTATAACGTATATTGGTTAATTTGTCTTCCTATAGTAAAAATCTTTACTAGCTCGAGCTAGGCTTTAAATTAACAATATCGTCATAAACAAAAACCGTACAATTTATTCGCAAACAGTGACCAGTGTAGGTATTATAATAACCCAAGGTACCTACTACCTACCATAGACATATAATTCATGTGGGGAAATCTAGGGGCTAAGCCCCCCCCCAAAGTCTGTCAAGCCAATTCTTTTTTAGTTTTGTAGGATCTAAGCCCCTCCTCTCACATTGATGTTAATGGATTTCCGCCTATGGCACATATTAATATTCTTTAAATATGCCTACTAACCATTAGCGGAAATCGGGGGAGAGAAAGGTGTTTGAGGGAGCTTACCCCCGAACCCCTCCTTTTTTAGTTTTGTAGGATCGAAGCCCCCCGCTCATATTTATATTAATAATTTTAGCCCCCCTGAAATTTTAATGGATTTACGCCTATGCTACTACCTACTTACAATTACAGATACTTAATTATATTTACATACAGATTGATAGATAGGTACTATTGGTAAAAATGAAAATCGATTATTCTACTTTACTTTTCATTGCGAAAATCATTGTCCTTGGCGCTTTGTGTTTTAACCGGACAGATTATTTGTTTAACCTGTAGTAAAATAATATAATACATATAACACACAATAAAAAAAAAAAATACATTTTACCTAAGTAGGTACACGATATTTTTTTTTTATTCATTATACGATAATAATTTACTTTAGGCATAGTTATTTCCAATAGTTTTGAACCAATCAACCGTTTCGCATTGGATTCGTCCACTCTTACTTCTTCGTCCAACGCCAATTGCAATATCTTTTTTCGTACAGTGACCCTCACGTACGTTGGTTGAACGTCCAAGTCCAATTCGCTAGTGTCCATGAACCTAAATTGAAATGTTAAAAAGCGTTAAATGTTACTGTACAGCGCGACTGTCTTATTAGTAAAATAATAATTAATAACTATCTTTATCTCACAAAGTACCTATTTAAATGTTTTTGGAAGTATAAATTTACACAATTTAAAGTCATTGAAAAACCAAATTTTTTAATAAAAAAAATCATTATTTTTTACTATAGCTAATCATTATCGTTTTTAAAGTTTTAGATTCTGAGCGAAGCGATGAATGTATTGATTTTACAATGTTGTGTTTATTTTTATTTTATTTGTCGTGTACGGTGTACCTACACGATAAACAAATGTCCGTAGGTCTAAAAGCTTGAAAGTTTAATGCAAGGCTCTTAATATGTTGTTGCAATGACAGTTGAAAAGTATAAAAAAAATTTTTTTTACAAGCATTTATAAAGTTTGAATTTTTACAAAAGCCGTAAAAATCACGAAATGTGCAAGTTATTTTGAGTTAGAAAATCATAAAAAATTTACTGTTTAAATTTAAGATTGGAAAATTTAATACTAGATTCCTCATAAGTTTGTCTACCATTATCAAAAAAAAATCTCTACTGGAAAGTCAAATAATTAAATTTGTATGAATTAATTTTTACAACATTATGATATTCACTCGATTTCTCATGTAGGTAGCGACAATATACCTACTTATTTTGTTGAGATTCAAAAACGAATAAATACAGAAACTTGAAGTTTACAAAATATATTTATTTATTCCTATCCTTGATAAAAATTTTCAAAATATTTCGACTCGTTTCTTGTTAACGAACATTTTAAATTTTAAATTTTTTTAGTTTTTTTTTTATAAATGGCAATACAATTTTATTTGTTTCAAAAACTCAAAGAGCTTGAAAATTAAATACAAGGCTTCTGATACATAGTCTTTCCAACGCTTCAACTGTCATCAAAAACGACGAAATACAAATTTTCGGTGCGACAAAAAATATTAAAATTATTAAGGCACAGTTTTTTTTTATAAGCATTTAAAGTTTGATTTTTGACAACATTTATCAAATTGAACATTTAAAATGATTTTATAGTTAAAAATTAATAAAATGTTCAACTTTTATAGCTATTTAAAACAAGGTTCCACGTAATAGTATAGTTAATTCTGCAACCAAAAAATTTAAAAATATACATAAACACAGTTTTTTTAAAGTTGTTTTAAGTTCAATTTTAAACAAAATTACACAATAAAAACCCAATAATAACGATTTTAGTTATTTTTTTAAATATAAATTCAACTTACTGGCTACGGTATTAATAATAAGTAAGTAATAACTAATAAGTAATAACTATATAAATATAATATAAATTATACAATATCCTAGACTCAAGCCCGGATTAAAGGGGGGGGGGGCCAAGGGGGGCACGGTCCCGGGGCCCATTGATTTTGGGGCCCGTCTTTATCACCAAAATATATTTTTTTAACGCGTCCAATACAGTTTTCAAAAATAAATAAATTATTTAATTAGGTAGGTATAGTAGGTAAATTATTATTAATAATTATAAAATAAATATGTTCTCAATTTTATACCAGCAAAAATTACTATAAATAATGAACTATGTTTGCCAATAATTTTGTTTGTTTGTTAGTTTTTTATTTTTGAACATTTTAGACTACCAATTTAACTATTTAAGTATATAGAAGGTAGTTATAAGAAATATTATTTAGCTCTTTTAAATTAGGTATTTCAGTTAAAAGTATTAATGCATACTAGTGATGATCAAAACAAGACCAAGACTCTTGCAATACTCTTGCTATTTTCACAAAATATATAAAAAATAACTAAGTACCTATTATAGCTGTGTCACACATAATAATATACATTATATATTACGTACCATTATTAATTAAACCATTTATATTACTTATTAAATTATTTTATATATTTTATTGTACTAATAAACTGGGTTTAAATAATAATATTTGCCTATTAGCTTAGATAGTATGTACAATGTTTTTATCAGACTTAGGCAGAAATTGTATTTAAGATGCCCCCCCCCCTGTAAATATGTTCTAGATCCGCGCCTGGCTGTGTGTAGGTTTTTTGTTATGATCTCTAAGTTGAAACTTATCGATTTTGGGAAAATAAAATAATTTTTCAGTAATTGTTAATTAGTATGAACAACTATGTTAATTTGTAATATCAATTCCCATTATATTTCTATGGAATAATCTTTTTTCCAATAATTCGCCATTTCCTCGAACACTGATCAAATTTCATAACAATACAAATTAACTCTTTTTATTTTCGTTATAAATTATTAGTTAATAAAATCTAGATACAGTAATGTGTTTTTGGGGAAAAAAAAAAAATTCGCAAGTCTTGCGAGACCGCAAGACCAAGACCAATTTTGATCGTCACTAATGCATACTTTAGAAGACCATAGTTAATAACTTAGCTAACCAAAATTGATCATTTGACTGTCAAAATTTTTAGAAAAAAAGCTATAGTGGAATCCATAAAATAACATAGTGGTTACCATTTGAAAAAATAAAGTCAATTTTATTATTGGTACAACTGCGTGTTTAAAAATGTTGAATATGTTATAAAATAAATTGACTGTTAAAAATAAAGAAGCATACAATGACATAGGATACACGATTTATATTTTTGTATAGTAACAAATTATACAATAATAGATATAAAGTCATTAATATGTAACGATACAATTATTTTGAAGTTAAAGTTGAAAGGGGGCCCACTAAGTGTATGGTGTCCCGGGGCCCAATTGATCCTCAATCCGGGCTTGCCTAGACTGACTAACCGTCTCCGTTCAGAAACGTTTTTTGTATACAATGATAGGTACCTAGTGTACCATTGACTTCAAATTGAATACCATCCATTACCGTAACCCATCTGTAACTTACTGTACAGCTGAGTGCCATTAACTTACAGGCTTTTTTTTCTTAATACTATCATAGGTTTTATGTATTTTTAGTTTAATATTCTGAAATACAATACTTTTCTCTAAAATCATATTTCAAACGAGTGCCTAAATACCTACCTAATCAATTATAGTAGGTAGAATAGGTACTAAAAATAGACGTCTATATAAAAATCACAGCTTATTAGTGTACCTAAATAGTGTTGGCTATAATTGGCTAATAAAACTTCAATGTTTAAATATTTAATAACTAAGTCATTTTAAATGCATAAAAAAACAATAAAAACGTAAATTTAACATTGATTTACTTATAAACATGAACAGTGAGCACGTATCTGTTGTCTTCATTCTCCAATTTGTACGGCACTTTAGCTTGATTTAAATTATACGGACGACCGTCTTCGGCGAACAGTTTAGGAGTCCACGTTTCTTGTTTGGGTGTTTTTTTCTCTTCATCTTGCTTTCGCTGAGCTCGTCTGCTGTGAAACGCCATCTCAACGCGACACTCCGAAGTGTTTTCACTAGGTTGATTCCAAAAACTAAAAGTTTTGGACATTTTATATAATAGGTACACGTTATAAGTTTATACGTCATATGACATAAATTAAACGATAAAAATCATAATGCAATACCAATTATAAAAGCAATTTTTTTTCTGGGGGTGAACCGGAAGGGGCTGAACATTTTTATCTCGACGAGCCCCACATCACCCGTAACATGATTTGATACCTGCATGGCTGCATGTGTTGTCTCCGTCTTACGAGTTATGAGTATTTTACGATGTACAAAAAATTTACAATATTAAAATACTCATAACTCACTTTAAAAATAATATATAATAAAAAGTCCATGAGGTAGATAATAATCTTACCTTTAGATTTTATAAGTGGTCAATTCACTCTAATTTTTTTTACTAATGGAGCCATACGTGTTGTGCTGAGCATACAATTTGCTATGTTATACGCACTTGTAGGACGGAGACAACACATTCGGGTTTCACATCTTCTTGGCAGTTCTTGCTTATATTTAAAATTGTTTACATCTGAATATCCAGAGTACCCACCTATCTGACAACCCAAGCGCTAACAAGATTTTTACAATGCATTTATTTGATAGGTACATTACCAGTATTACTCAGACCTCTCTCGAAAAGTTGTGTAGGAGTTGTTACCCCAGTACCTCCATAATCATACAAGTATACAATGTGTAAACGCACACCCCACATCACACCCATGACCCATGCACACCCATCCAGAATATAAAATAAATTCCAATATCAAATAAGAAACGATGAGTCATTATAGACATGAGTACAACGAAAGAGGCATACAGCGCTAGATAAACTTAAAAAGAAAATAACTGCCAATGGATGACACTACGAACTAAGATAGTAGGTACTATTAATTATTATAATTTATAATAATCAATCTTAGGTACATTAATTTCGTATGATGAATTTTTTTAATACATATTTATGATTATGATTTATGAGTGAATGAGTGATAATGAATTATACTAGACATAAAAAAAATCAATTGAATCTGTATGTTAGTTGAGGCACTCCTACCAATACGGTATAGTACCTATGACACTTATACCTATTTATACCTAATATATTATTTAATCTACTTTATTCGTAAATTGTCTAATGACCTAATACACTTGTATTTAATTTATATTACCAACATTCTAAAGACTACAGTAGCCTGCAGTAGGTAAGTATAAGGCACTTATAATTATTTTTTTTTTTACATACTCTTCGTCTGTTTCTTCATAATTTTTTTCGTACGTTTCCAAAGTATCCTCCGTAATGTTTCTAGATTTTGATGTCTTTTTTTGTTCTGTTCTGAAATCTAAAGTGAACATAAAGTCAAATTATTCTAACACGGTACCTACACGGCTAGCTCATTAAATATATTAAATATTAGCATTATACGTAGGTATTTTTATATATTTTTTTCAAATATTTACTTTCATAGGTTTTTTGTTGGGCAATAATTTTACGTGCAACATTTGATAACTGCTGTTTGGCGACTAATTTATCAAATGAAGTCACATCAATTCCGTCAAGTACGTCAATTTGTGGTAAAGTTCCAATAACATACTCGCGGTATCCATCAAAATCTGTACAAGGATTTCCAGTGAGATATCTAAACAAATTAAAACATATAGGAGACAAAGCTGGCAGCCGCATGGGTATTTAAGGCTATAACGAGTTTTACGAGAGAAAATAATTGTACCTACCTTCTACCTACAGCAGAACGAGATTTCCTGAACACCACAGGATTTTAGTGAGTACCTAGGTACCTACCTAAATATTACGCCGAGTAAATCTAACTCTTCAACTCTCAAGTGGACACACTCGTATAGCATCAAATAACTATGAATTCGAAAGCCGCTCACAATTTACTTAGGTAATTTATTTCATAATTTATATACCTATCAAAATAATTAAGTTCCCATACAAATAACTACTTACCAACAAAATAATACAATTTATATGAATTTATATTGCAACAATAGGAAGGTAATTTAAATTTTATTTCCATTGATTGTTCAGTGCTTGAATTGGAAAAAATTAGAAGGAGACAAGGAGTTGGCATAATATATAATATATTTATAATATTTTTTAAAAATAAGTAGTCCGTCACCCTTCAATTCAAGCACGGCATAATATAAGGTATGCTGTTAATAATTTTCATATCAACTTATTAGTTATTATACTGATATTAATTGTAAGTAAATAATAATGAGATCATATTTATTTGGAACTTTGGAAGAATTATTCCAATAATAATTAGTTGGATGCATGAGTAATGAGTATATTATATTATTAATATACATAAATAGATAAGGTTAAATCCATGGCCTGTGAACAATAATTTATCCAAACACTTTATAATTTAAAAAATAAACATAAAGTGTTTGAATAGGTAGTTGAATTTAAATGACATGATATACTTAGGCAATATTATATTATAACAGTAGGTACCTATATATTATAGGTTGGTTACCTACTAATGAAAATTAATGTACGAAAATGTACCCACCTTAACTCTTAATAGCATCAAGCATGTCATATTGTCACAACCGCATGCGTTGTCTATCTTAAAAATAATGATCATCTTCTTAAACATAATCATAAGTGTTAAGTGAATAACCTCAAGACCTAACATTTTTTCGTGCCCACTCCGAGTATCGACTAAAGTTCTAACTTCTAATTAGTGATCGGAATAATCGAATAAAATAATACAAATAAAATCATTCGAACGAATTAAATTTATTATAAAACATTCGAAATTCAAATGATAAAAATTATAAGTAAAAGCATTAAACTAAAAAGCATGACAAAATAAACATGTCATGGTAAAAATAATCAAATGCTTTTATAATATTGATTTTATACATTATTAATTAGTTTTTAAAATTGTATCAGTTTGAAATATTTTATATTAGGATTATTTTATATTTTATAGTTAAATACTTTATAAGTATCTATTAATCAATTAATTAATTTATATTTTTTATTCTGTACCTAAGTCCTAGATACATGTTATAGATAATAGTTAATTCACTGATAATCTATTCAAAAGTTTATAAAAAGAGTAGTTCAACTTCAACTGAGTGTTTCCTAATTGCAGTATTATAATTTTCGTATACACTATCAACAGACTATACCAATGACAATACTTATAAAAGTTATACTTTAATGAAGTCACTAATTAGTCAGTAGTACCTATACGGGTAGTGAGATAAAAAAAGTAAAAACCATTAGATTATTTTATCGTTCGAGTGAAAAATTCATTCGAATGATTTATTCGATTATAAAATATATCGATTACTAATCATTCAATTATTCTAATCATTTGATTATTCCCATCAGTAGTTCCAAGGCTGGGCATTAACGAGTTAAAAAGTTAAAGTTAAGTTAAAAAGTTAATTTTGTTTAAACTTTTTAACTTGACTAGTTAATTTTGGCTTTTCATTAACTTAACTGTTAACCTTAACATACTAAATTTCTTTTTTAATTAACGTGAAATTAGCGAGTTAATTTTTCATTTTAAGAAGTTAGGTAAGTTAATTTATTTTGTTTTTAATTTTACTCTATTTCACTATTTCAGACTTTCAGTCTACTTTGTTTTCAATTTTCATGTCAAAAAATATTTACCATGAATTTTTTAAAGTTAAATATTTATATCATTCGAATCTAAATTATACGAAAATACTGTATAAGGTATAAACACTATAAGGTCTATAATTTAGTTTTGGATTGGAAAAAAATTAAGTAGGTACGCTAGAATTGTATAAAAAAATTAACAAAAAGTGTATAATAACTTTTAACTTAACTGAGTTAATTCATAGTTAAATTAATTTTTAACTTTTTGTTGTTGATGCATATCAACTTAACTTAACTAAGTTAAAAAAAATCATTGACTTGCCCAGCCTTGACTAGTTCTAATAATAATGTCTAATGTATATGTATAGTAATATAGACATCAGACACAACAAAATACATAATATAAAGATATTGAAATCAATAACTATAGATTACAAAATACTGAATAGATACATTTTTACGTAACCATTAACCAATGTTATAATAACCAGTATGAATGAAGATACCATTTTTGTGTTAGAAAATTTCTAGTTATCGGTTGTGCCTTGTGCGAAGTTACAACAAATAATAAGACTTATAATAAGACTTTACTTACAGTGTTCGTAAATGTGTGTTGTATTTTAACGATCCAATACTATCAAGTTTCCCTATAAAATTCATGGTCAAATCTAATTTGTTTAAAGATTCACATCGGTCCAAGTTTTCTATTTTTTCAATACAATTCAATGCCAAATTTAAATATTCTAATTTCTTTAATTTGTTCAAATTTTCTGAAATCAAACATATTATAAGTAGAAAGTACCTATCTATATCCTAAAATCAATATGACAATATGTGTATCAATGGTAGTATATACAAAGTCAATATATTATGGCTTACAGACACAGACAAGGGTAATTTTCTGGGAAGTTCCTTAAATTAAATCAGTTACCTACACTAAACTACTTAATTAAAACAAATCTACAAAAAAAAGGTGCTCTGCTGTACCGTAGGTTACAAGTGGGTCACTATATAATGGATGGTATTAAATTTGAATTCAATGATATAATATCATTGTATACGAAAAACGATTCTGAGCGGAGACGGTATGTCAGTCTAGGTATAAGACATATTATATACTTATTATCTATGGTATTGAAAAAATTGACCTATAATAGGTAAATATAATAAATTCCAAATTAATCATATCACAATATCCATTAGGTACTTATAACGCGTTATACATCAATAACAAACCTTGATACTATCATAGATATATATAGACTATAGAGTATAGACTATATAGTATAGTATACTTTAGAAGTTTCAAGTACCCACGAATAATATTATACAATCACAACAAAATAACTAAAAAAGTTATTCTAGGTTTTTTAATATGTATAATTTCGTCCAAATTTGAACTTAAAGTGGCTATAAGAATAAACTGTGCTTATATATTTTTTAGATTTTTTGGTAACAGAATTAACTACTTACGTGGAATCTTGTTTTAAATTTTCAATCCTTAGATATAAAAGTTGAACATTTTATAAATTCTTAACTCAAAATTAATTATTCAATTTTAAATTTTATAAATTTTGTCAAAATTCAATCTTTAAATGCTTATAAAAAAAATTGTGCAAATGTATTTTTAATATTTTTCAACTGATATTGTAACAATATATCAGGAGCCTTGTATTACATTTTTACACTTTTTAGTCCGACATATAAAACTTTATTGATATTTATAGAATAAAAAACTAAAATTATTGAAAAATTAAAATGTCGGTAAACAGCTCAAAAATAGTCAAAATATTTTCAAAATTGTATGGTGTATAGGAAATGCTAATATAAACATTCAGTGAAATTTTCATGTATCTACAGTTATTCGTTGTAAAAATTTGAATTTCAAACGCTCATAAGGAATCTTGTATTACATTTTCAAATCTTAGATTTAAAAAGAAAAATTTTTACGAATTCTTAACTCAGAATAATTTGCTAATTTTCGTGATCTTTCCATATTTTGTCAATTTTTGGACTTTAAATGCTTATAAAAAAAAACTGTGACTAAGGATTTACAATATTTTTCATCTGCCTTTGAAACAATATACTAGAAGCCCTCTATTAAATTTTCAAGCTTTTTTAACTAACTAATACATTTTTATTGATATTCATAAAGAAAAAAACTAATAAAATTGGAAATTGAAATTGTCCCTAAACATTTCAAAATATTTTTGAAAATGTTATCGTGTATAGAAAATGCAAATTTAACCAACCAGTGAAAATTTCACTTATCTACGGTCATTTGTTTTAAAGTTACACCAAAAACCAAAATCGATTTTGCGTAAATATTCCGATTTTTCCTCAATTTTTCTTTTGTTTTCACGGCGCTTTTGAAAACTACTGGGAAATTTTTACTTTTGACCCCACCCAGCTTAATATATTTAGGGCACAGGCACATTAACACGCCAATTTTTCCGGAATTACTTAACACAATTAATGGGTGTAAGCGTGTAATTCAAATTCAAATTTTTTTAAAATAAAAAAACTGATGTACTCATGTTTAAATTTATTTTATACAAGTAATATCTGTTAGAACATAGTATAATATTTAATTAACTAGCAATCAGGTTTTCAAAATTTATTATTATAAGCTGTATAAAATAAAAATCAATAAATTGTCAGATGTCAGAGGATTCATTAAACTCGTATTGTACTAAAATGATTAAAATATTTTTGAAATGTTTATAATTCTAAAATAATTAATTCTTCAGTCACTGGTTATTAGTTATTCACTGTAATATGTTTTAAGTATTCAAATAGATCTACCAAAAATAAAGGTTTTAGGCCCTCTACCTTCGGTTAATAATATATCACAGGCAGGGTACACATTTTTATAAGTCTATGACATATGATAGATTTTGTACAACATTCAATAAATTGCCTTTTATTAATAATTTATAAACTTATATTTAATGGTACATAAGTTTGCATTAATTCAAAAAATAAAACATGTATTTTGTATGCAGTTCCTAAACATATTATTTAGTTAATTTAACAATAACACTTAAATTGAAATAAAAATAATTTCTTAATAATATTTTACTGTTAAAGAACACAACTGCACTTTGATGAATATATTATATTACACACACCTACTATAAATATAAAAAAATATATTTTAGAAAATAAATTATAGTTACAAAAACCACAAGCAAGAATAGTTATTTATACAATATTCAATTAACTATAACACTATTAAATAATTAACAGAAAAATAAATGTGTGGTACAATAATTGTTTTTGGAAATTAACAGTTAATTTGATTGAGGAGAATTGAACGAACAAACACAAAACATAATATTTCGCCTTGAAAAAAACAGATGTATAACAGGTGAGTTCTTTGTACCAAATGCTCGAAGTAGGTACTTGGAACTATTATTCATTACAGTTGGATTATGCACATTCATATCATCTAACGAGAGATCTTCTATAAGTTTTGAATAATCCCAGAGCATTATTTTACAATCATGAGAGCCAGTTGCTAAAATAGTACTGTCTCTACTAAAGGTAATTGTATAAATAGGTCCTTTATGTCCAGTAAGCATAGCAACTAAATGTCCATGTGCAATGTCCCATAGAAGTACATTGCAATCATTGCCAGCTGATGCTAAAACTCGTCCCTCATTTGAAAAACACAACGTCAAAATTTCTCCTTTATGGCCAGTCATTAATCGTACTTGTTCTCCGGTAACACAGTCCCATAAACGTACAGTTCTGTCACTTGACCCAGTTGCTATATAATTTGAATTAGGGTGAAACTGACAACAATCTACATCTGAAAAATGACCACTAAACAACCTCAATGACTGATAATTATCTGTTGCCCATAGTCTCGCTGTACGGTCTCTACTAGAAGTTGCAAAATAATAACCATGTAAACTGAACTTGACATCAAATACAGGATGATAACTTCCTTTATATGCAACTACACATGACCATAATAGTAAACTCCAAAGTCTAATTGTACAATCTTCTGAACATGACAACAATAATGTTTTATCAGGACTAAACGACACTTGATATACAGGGCCGTAATGTCCAAGCAATGTACGGGTGGTTTCAGCTGACCTATCATCAAGTATCCTATGCATTACATCGTCAGATTCCAGGTCTATATCCAACAGTTGATCAGCCGTTTTCATGGCACGTAGTTTTTGAGGTACTAGGCTCCACACACGTACTCGACTATTAGCCATTCCTACAGCCAACATTGTTGCATCATCACTAATTGTTGCACAATTCACAGCATTGGAACAATTTAATAATGTATAACAACATATAGAAGGTAATGTTTCATGGTTTAACGCCACTCGCTTAGCAGAATCTAAAACTGCTTGAACCTTAATTTTTTTATCAATCTGAAAAATATAAATGTTTATATATCAAGATTATTATTGCACGTTCCAAAATTGGAGAGGATTAAATGAGATTCCTATCAGTTTTATAATTTAAAATTTGTTGAGTACTATAGAAATTAAGTCATTATACTGCTTCTACAACAAAATAAATTACTGTAGTCATTTTGAAAATAAAATATTAAGTTAATATTATTTATATTCATTGGATATATAGGTACATAACTCAAAATCATTGTTTGGGACGCTACTGGTTTTTTTGTAATATTCCCCTCCAAAAAGTAGATCGCTATTGCTATTGCTAATTTCTTTAAATTTAATGCCCTACTTCTTACGCTATTGTTTATATACATTTTTCCGCAAATTTTTTTTGTTTTAATTTTCATATTGAAAGTTGGTAGTTTGTAGATTATACTGATTTGATACTTGGTCACTGGAGGTTATTTAACTACGTGAGTCAATTGTGGATTAACAACCGTAAAATTCACTAATACACTCATCATTATAATAATATTAAATAATACATATAATAGTTATCGTACTATTTTAATCACCAAATACGTTGTAAGTAGCGACAAAATTATAACTTTTACCAGGCTAACCACACATTTTCAGTGTGCTATAGTATTTCACTACATTAGGTGCATTATAGCAACGCTAAGTTAATCACCATTCCCGACCACTGTTCAGAAGTATTAAAATAATTCTAAAAATAAAATGTTAATTGCCTACAAATAAACAAAATTATTTCATTAAAGGAACACATTTTTACATCATGGATACTAATAGCCAACATTTTAAAAATATAAATTTGTATTAGGTAAATTATATGTGTTTCATTTCAAAAGTTTCAAAGAAATCGTAACATATAAAAAAAATTATGATTTCATATAAGTTTAGATTGAGTTTAGAACAGAGAATACATTTTACAAATTTGTCATTTATATGATAATTATTTATATAATTACCTCTCTCAATTGTGGTAGTGGCATTCTATCTAATGGTGGAGCATTAGGATCAATTTTAGTTTTTTTAGATAGTAAAGGATTAGACTTCGATTTCTTTTTTTTTGGTTTTTCACTCTCTTGAGTTTCTTCTTCATCTTCATCTAAGTTAACTGTTGCTGCTGCAGTTTGCAAATCTGGTTCTTTCAATAACCCATAGTACACTCTGGATTTATTGTCTTGTCGAGTTCCTTCTCCGATCATACCTCCTGCCACCGCATCAATTTGTTGTTTGTTTCTAGCTATTCCTTCATAAACATCAAAGAACAAATTTTCTTGTACAATATCTAGTAAGACAGTTTGTTTTTTTTCTTTCAAATGCCTTTTTAAAAGAGACAATGTATCCCTAGACATTCGAACAACAAATTCGTTTGATTTGTAATTGCTTATTAATGCATTATCCTCTAATTCTTCTTTTTTTGTAATTATTGCCAAGTTTTGAATGTCAGCCTGATAGTAAGATTCTTGTCCGGGTCCAAACTTTTTCATAAACTTTAAAGCTTCAGCTTCATAACGATTACAAACAAGGTCCAAATACATGTGTACAAACACTGGGTATAAAACACATCCCAATTCATGTTTGTAAATATCTAATGATGTTTCAACAAATTTTGATAGAGTAATATAAGCATTCTCATACACTGACGGATCTCCTTGAGATTTAAATATATTTAATGCATTATTAACATCGTGTTCTGAAGTATTATATGCAGAATCTGTCAAATTTGCTTCTTTTTTCAAAGTTTCAGCAGTAGAATTTAAGTTATACTTTTTGAGAATTTTCAATGCAACACACAAACTTGTCTTTTTATCATCCGGTTCTTTTTGGGCTTCATCGATTACTGGTTTGATATCTGGTTTATTATCTTCTTCCATTTTCTTGAACAATGTTATTAGTTTATAGCAAATTTGTTTTATTTAATTATAATATACAGTACATTCACAAAGTATAAAATCATAGAATAATATTATTTTATGATAAAATATAAATAACTATTTAAGCACTTGATATTATATTTCTTAAAAGAAAATTTAAAAGTATAATTATGATATTCAAGTCTTAAATTTAAATCACTTCAAAACTAATTATTAGTATAAATGTTGAGTTTATAACGTAACTTAGTAGTCGGTTTTAATTTCGTTCAAATTTATTTGAAGAATGGTTTAAATAAAAATGAGCTTAAAAATATGTAAACAAAATATTTTTCATGATAAGGTTTTATACAGTGTTTACAGCCTAAGAACTAGAATATTCTTCATGGTTTTCACTGTTTTCAGTTTTTACAGTGTAACCGTTATACGTTGGAAATTATTAAATAACACGATTAAAAATAATAAACGATATACCTATAATTTTAAATTTATTATATTCTACAGACTTCTATACATTGAACTAGACTCCTATAGTCCTATCAGTGGCGCATTTAGACATAATAGACATTAAGCGCACAGGGGCAACATTTTACTAACGCCCCTCCCCTTTTTACCCGACAAATAAAATTTAATTGACATTCATAGAAAAAAAAACTAAAAAAAAAGGCAGGTAAGTGGATGTCGCTCAGCCGTACAGTAGGTTACAAGTTGGTCATTGTTTAATGGATTGTATTAAACTTGAATTCAATGATATAATATCATTGTATAAGAAAAACGATTCTGAACGGAGACGGTTTGTCAGTCTGTATATTTTATATTGTCATTAATTATTTTATTTATTTAATTATTATTTTAGATTCTGAGTGAAACGATGAATGTATTGATTTTACAATGATGTGTGTTTTTTTTTTATTTTTTTATTTTTTTTTGTGTCTGTGTACACGATAAGTAGTCGAAATAATGCTTCGATTTTAAACTTCAGTATCTTGTTCGATTGGAAAGTGAATATCGTTGGTGCATTGGGGAGGTCAAAATTTAAATTTCCCAGTAGTTTTCAAAAGCGCCGGGAAAAACAAAATAAAAATTAAGGAAAAACGAGAATTTTTACGCAAAATCGGTTTTCCAAAAAATCGATTTTGGTTTTTGGTGCAACTTTAAAACAAATGACCGTAGATACATGAAATTTTCAGTGGTTGTTTATATTTGCATTTACTATACACGATAACATTTTCAAAATATTTTGATTTATATTGAACTGTTTAGGGACATTTTCAGTTTCCAATTTTATTAGTTTTTTTTTTTATGAATATCAATAAAAATTTATTTGTTGAGTAAAAATACTTGAAAATTTAATACAAGGCTCCTACTATATTGTTTCAAAGACAGATGAAAAATATTAAAAATCGTTAGTCACAGTTTTTTTTTTAAGCATTTAAAGTTCAAAAAATGACAAAATATGGAAAAATCACGAAAATTTTCAAATTATTTCGAGTTAGAAATTCATAAAAATTTTTCTTTTTAAATCTAAGATATAAAAATGTAATACAAGATTCATCATGATACGACTATGTTCAAGAACACTTAAATATAATATATAATTATAGCTTGGCAGTCGGCGTCCTTTCTCTAATGTAGTAATGTCCATGAATATAATATTATAATAAATACTAATTACTAACTGTATAACACGACTTAACCCGTGATAAAATAAACAAAATATATTGGTATAATATAACCATGAACATTAGAGGAAGGACGCCGAACACAGCAGAACGAAGCGTAAAAACATGGTCCGGAATTATCGCATTCCGCCAGAATGCGCGTCGGACCGTAATGATGTCGTTTTTACATAGTGTATAGCATAGGACATTTAATGGTTTTTTATTATTATAATCTAAATGGTGAAATTTATGAATAATTACTATAGAACATTTTTTTAAAACCAAATTACCCTCGATCGAACATAAGTGTTTCCAATAATATACGACTTTTATAAAAAGAGACAACAACTATATCTTTTTTTATAAAAGTCGTATATTATTGGAAACACATATATTCGATCGAGGGCAATTTGGTTTTAAAAAAATGTTTTATAGTAATTATTCATAAGTTACACCATTTAGAATATAATATTAAAAAACCAATAAATTCCCTATGCTGTACATGTAAAAACGACATCATTACGGTCCGACGCGCATTCTGGCGGAATGCGATAATTCCGGACCACTTTTATATACACAGTTCGGCGTCCTTCCTCTAATGTTCATGAATATAACTCAGTTTATAATCAAACCGGCGTCGGTACTCGGTATACCTCGCTTTGTGAAGTTATTCGACCGAGATAGTCAATATTTGTCTATGCCGGATTTGATATAGGTAGCACTTGGTATAGCCGTGTAGGTATACCTATTTAACTATTTTTGAACGTGGTTCAAACTACTCACAGTCTCTCTAGACTTTCCTCAATCCTGATATCTCCGAGAACAATTTGAAATTATCATAAAAATAAATTGATTGAGTTGATTTTGAGTACCTATATGTATAAGCTACAGCCTACAAACATATTATAATATATTATATACAATATACATACAATAAATTCTCATATAATATTTTGTTTTAAGATATAATTTCTTTATTCGAGGCCATAAATGAGTGACGATTTGCATGTTTTACCACGTCTGTCCGATTATGTATTAAGTATGCAACCATTTATGTAAAAAAAAAATAAATACTAATTTCTACTAGGTGTCTAGGTATTACTATTATAATCTGTGACAGTGTAACCAATGGAAACCATTAATCAAACAATAAATACATAAATATATTGATTTCCATCTTGAATCTCAATATATCCTTATGTGAGCACCTCTTTAAAATGTGAATTTTGGAAAATCTCTTTTTAGTGCATCCCTAACATGACTAAACACATAGGTATAACCTAACTTAACCTAGCATAGGTATAATTCAACAACAAATTATTTTATATTATTTTGCACAGGGCGCCTCAATTTGTAACGCCGGACCTGTCAATAATTTAATACTTCTAGAATAAATACTAAATAATTAAAATAAATATAATAAATACTAAATTCTCAATTACAGTGGTGAGTAAAAATAAGTAGGTGATCTGGGAGTTGGTACACAAAATTATTAAATTTTGCTTTAAAAATTCTATACAATTTAATAGGTATACCTATACAATATTATAATATATTTGGCACAAATTCACTTTAGATAACCAGCTTTTTTTTTTTTTGATTTTTTTATAAATACATACGTATTTCAACACATTAAGAACGACGGAGTAAACTAAAATTTGCAGAATTCATTATTTTGGAAGTTATAGGTATCCTTCTAAAGTTTGATTTTACGCCACAACACTGTACTTTATTGTCGCGCTCATTGTTGTATAACCAATTTTGTTTTTTTTTTTTTTTTAACGAGTTAATAAAATAATGGTGAAATCAGCGGTTGCTGTTTTACCAGACACCCTTTTTTCAATTTTTTTTTGTTATTACGTAGGTATAGTAAAGCATGCTGATTGCTGAAGTCAGAATTTGGTGGTTGGATTTAGTTTTGAAGTTTTAGCTTATAATTGATGTCTGAGACCCTGAGGCGCAATTTCAATAAAAAAAACTGAGGGTGCTTAAGCTCTGCATTTTCTGAGCATTTAAATTAAATTATAACTAGGTCTATGAGGTATTTATGACTTTTTTGGGGAAAAATGTTTTATGACAATTTAAAATTGAATACGTATAGCGTATTAGGTACATTTTATAAAAATTAATACAATAGTGATTTTAATTTATTAAAAATTGAAAACAACTTTTTATATTTTGTTCAAAAAATATGACAAATAAATATACGTATACGTTCCAAATTCATTTAGGTATTCAAAATGATATTGATATTTCAAAAATTCTAAAAAATAAACTACCTACTTGACTTAGATAAATGTTTTTAGTATAAAAATTGTTCTTATAATCATATTCACAAATTGGCTATTTTGAATATATCCCAATAAATTAAAAAAAAAATTTTCAATATTAAAAAATAAAAATAATTTTTTGCATAATATATGTGTAGCGCAAGTGACTATAAATTGTATATAAAAAAAAAAATATTATAAATATTGATTTGAACAAAAGTTATTCCAAAAGTCAGTTATATATCTGTAACCTACGGTGTAACCTGTATCTATAGGATATTATACTATAATAGTATAATACCATACGGCATACACAATCACACAAGCTGTCGAAAACTTGGAACACTTAAGTAAACACCGACTGACAAGTGATTCGGATATCGCAATTACTAATTAGGTTTTTGTCCGAATTAGATGTGGGCAAGGGAATGTTTATATACGTGTTTGTATGGCTACAACTCATTTGCGCACAAAAACAACTCATTTGCGCACAATTTACAAACAATAGAAACCTTTTTTCCAAGAATTTTATCCACGTATAAGGGGTACATAATCTCTGTACCACCATATTTTCGATTTGGTCAATACTGATAGTGGACAATTATTATACTCAAACAACATTTTCCTTCACCCTTTAAAAGGCTTAGGACTTTCTGCCTCATCATATTCTGATGTTATAGACAAAAATGTTATGTAACAAAAATAGGGTAAGATATAGCAATAATATCAATAATAAAGATTAAAGCTTGTCCCACACGACTAGTGAACTTGGCGAGTATTAATGCCATTTTTGATAGAGAACTGATGTGAAATCACGTTATGCTTTAAGACCATATAAGGCTATATTGAAGATACTCCAATTGACCAGTTAACGGGTGATCATTGATATCAATAATATTGAACGTGTAACGTGTTGGACAGCTTAAGACACCCTGTACACCCAAAACTGTACCTAAAAGCTGGTTTTCATTGTTTACTATTTTGTGCGCATATGAGTTGTCGTAAATTTAAAAAATATATTAATATGTGCAAATGTGAGCAAATGAGTCTCCACCGTTTGTATACGTTAAATACTACATAATATTGTCGTAGAGCTGATTCGCTGCGGAACGTGATAACTAATAATAATATAACCGACCACAACGACTGGGTTTAGTAGAAACCACGGACTAAGATATTTAGATATAATGGACTGGAAACGAGCAGCTTATCAGTGGCCTCGAAAGTATGTACAAGAAGCAAATGCGGGGGGTCGCAACCATAATCCAGAGTTTACAGCGCCATCTGTATAAAACATGGACTGAGATACAAAATATGACGCTAAATAAAACCACTGGTAGCGCTGAAAACTTTCGATTATGAGTGTTGATGATAACAGAGGAACCTTTTGCGGGCCGTCCCTCGTCACCCGCCCACCTTGTCGTTTCCAGTCCATTATATCTTAAACCGTGGTAGAAACATTGGGAAATAATGATTAATTTACTAAATAGATTTTAATTCGATAAAATGACTACCATAGATAATAGAAGAATGGATAGGCCATGTTAAATCATACAACGCAAGTGGTCGCGGTCTTTTAAGTATGAGAGAGAAGGCAGTTTCTCACTCCCGCAAGTGGCGATTTTGTTAGGTTATGTTCAAATATAAAAATGAAAATAGATAACATCCTTTGTCTTGTTCATAGATCATATCTATATTATCTATATTATCTATGTTTTGTTCTGCAATAAACTGATAGCATTAAATTATTATCTATCTATTGCCTTTTATAACCTCAAAATATTTTTCTAATTAATTCCCGTGTGATAAGGTTGCATGGCCGATCCCAAGGTTTATAGATTATACAGGTTGCCTCACTTCTGAATTTACGAAAAAATGAGAGTGGGGGGAATAACGCTCATGACGTCACTGCCGGAACACGAACACCGGCACACACCGCAAAACACATGGTTTATGCGTTAACGTTATGCTTAATTTCTATAATTTAGACGTAATTGGCGATTAATTAATAATTATATTAATTTTATAATTTTAAGTAGTATAATTTAACTATAACAGAAAAACAAGAAAATATTGATGACTCAGATACTGACACAAACAGTGATGACAATGAAAAATCAAATATTAATGAAATGACAGAAGACGCTGTTGAGTATTTAGCTGGATGGATTGCTAAAAAATATAAGCAAAAATTTCCTGAACTTGGTTGTACTACAACAGAATCAAAAATGAAATCAATAGATGAACATGACTATCTACTTCCTTCGTGGATTGATTACTTATCATATGGTGGCCTAATAGTCCCTAGTAATAACTTTAAAAAACACATTTTTAGAGCTGAAAGAGTTTTTAAAAAAATTACCAAGCAGAAAATCCCTAAAGGACCAGGTGTAGTAAAACAACTTTTACATAAAATAATGAATAGAATGGATATTGAAGAAAAGTATAGACCAGTTATACATACATTTGTAAGGCAAAGGATCTTTATTCGTATGAAGTATGCAAATAAAAATCATCAAATTTTAGCTTCAAAAAGAAAAGCAAAGTTACAGTTACAAAAACTACAAAAGTTGAGAAAACTTATGACTTGAAATGTATACAGAGTGATTCACTAATAATTATATTATTATTATTTTATTATATTATGAATTATATTATATTATAATATTTGTATTTATGCAAGATAAGTGTAAAATATTTTTTAGAAAGTTGATTTTTCTATCTTCAAATTAATATTTGTTGAAAGAAAAAATAGATCAATTGTTTTTATCAAATTTTAGTTTTGTTAAATTTTATTTATCATGTAAAAATACAAAATAGGTACCTACGACATAATATTATGTTTGAACTTTTTGTAGTTTTACTAACTTCTGTAAGTATTTTTACCATATTATTTTACTACCAAATGATATACCTATTGCATGCTGAACATAGCTGTTAGTTAAATAGTAGGAGCTATTTGTGATATACAGTGTACTCTCAATAGGTAACTTGAACCTTGATAACTAGAAATTCTCCAGATCTCGAACAAATAAAATTCCCCTTCAAGTAACATAATAACACATTAAGGTTTTGAAAACTCGAAATTTTTAATAATTCGGACTTTTTTCCCCCAGTGGGCCGTGAGCTTCGAGTTACTGATTTTACACTGTATTAAAAATGAATATATTATATTCGATAATTATTATTTATTATATAATTAAATAGCTGGTAAATCAAATGAATAATTCCTTAATAATTAAGTTATCAAAATCAAAAGAAAGTATGTAAAAAATGATTTTATTAATTATTATACTGTTGAAAATAAGTAAATGATACATTGTACCGCACTACGGCAGTCGATTGTTCCGGCAATGACGTCAGTTGACGAGGAACGGTACGGGGGGAAACGTTTTGTTTACATGACTATGAGGCAACCTGTATAATCTATAAACCTTGGGCCGATCCATTCTTCTATTATCTATGATGACTACTCTGATACCCTCATATGTCTGATGATAACCGGTTTTTGGTTTTTTTTTTTTTGTAAGGAGAAGTTTTGATAAACACATAAATAAACACATAAATTATTAGAGGGTGCTAATTTTAAAATTGTGGTTGCTAATACCCCCTAAGCCCTATTTGCGCTTATGCTGAGACCCATCCAAGGTGGTTTTACATAACAAGTCGAGAGATGTTTTCGATTTTAATTATTGTCCGAGCGAACACAGCGAGCGAGTGACCATGCGTTGGGTGTATATATGAAAATACTGTATACATAATATATATTATTTCAATTATTTTTTTTATAGTAATAAATTAGAATACAATCAGCAGTATTTTTTTTTTTTTTTGTACAGACTCTGATAATTTATAATATGTTAAACTAAAATATGGATAAGAAACTAGGAGAAGGGGGCTACGGATAAAACTGGAGGCACTAAGCCCCACTCTTCCTAATCGAGTCTATGGATACAACTATATTTTATTTAAAGTAATAATAAATATTAAATATTAATATACGACTATACAAGATAGTCAAGATACAATTTAAGTTAGGTAGATTAGTAGAATATATTAATAGTTAGTTGTTACTTCATTACTTGTTAGTTGTTACATCTTTACAAGTTACATAGGTATTAATGTAACTCTATAAAGTAATTTTAGTACGTTTTGTACGGTGTGGTAAGTGGTAACTGATTGCCCAACCCAGCTGTGCCCGTGCTTATCATTATACTAACCTATTTTAAATATTAAATTTGATTGCAAAAGTAATATTTTTAAATCTTTACACCAATTTTGTAAATTTTCTATTTTAGTAATATCTTCCTGGTGTAAAGATATTTCTTCTAAAGTGCCGATCTCACCTTCGTTGTGTTCAGAACGTTTTCTTATAAGTTCAATTGTAACTGGAAAAAGTTTTGAAATAATATAGAATATTATAAACAGTTTAATGTTATTATTGTTATTAATAATTAATAATTATTATTATAAAAACGATAAAAAAATAAAATGTTTAGATAGGTTCGTCTGTTATTACACAATTTTTTTTCCATTACATATAAATAATAATTAATAATACATTTTGAGCTATCATTGAAATTTGAACGATATAAATTATCGATTATGTAGTATGTACCTATTATTCTATTAATATCTATATTCAGTGCTAGAACTGGAGAATAAAGTAATTATAGGAACTAGGATGTAAGCACATTGTTTGTTTTCTCTCCCTGCCCCTGATAACTGGCTCATAGCAACATCGACAAAACGTATTCACGCAAAATCATTTTTTTTTTGTGTTTTTGAGTATTATTGGACTAAAATTACATATTACAAAAAATTATAGGAAATAATATTTTTGAATATGTCATAATATGGATTTGTCAAAATATCGTCTTCAAATAATTTGATATAGGTATTTAATATTCGGTGTATGGTGTTCAAAATTTATCTTAACTTTCCCGTTGCCCCGAATAAAAATTCTGATTCGCAGCAGTACATTATCAAGTAGGCAATCTACCTGCGGTAGATCGCGGACCCCGGGCTATTTCTACGTAAGTATTTGATTTGACTCTATAAAGTATCAAAGTTATACCAAGTTTGTCGTTTTTACTTAATTATACTATAATCAATTTATATAAAATCTAATCCTAACCTAACAGTACTAAAATCCGATAAATAAAATAAAACAAATTTAACCCTTTGTAAATTAACGTATCTTCTTCCCAGAGGTTTAATCTACCCACAAACATTAATTTATATATATATAAATATCTAACTTTATAAATACACAGACTAAACTCTGGAACTACTTATCAGATCTTCTTGTATATATTAATATATGTATATTGACAAAAGATAATAATACAAATCAAGAAGATCTGCCAAGTAGTTCCAGAGTTTAGCCTGTACAGAAATTTTCTTTTCACATTTTTATAGTTAGATATTATATTATAATTTAAAAAATTAAAGCATAAAGTTTTTTTATATTATTTATATCTATACTACAATATAAAATTGTAAGGGGTTTTCTACGACCACGCTAATCGGGAAAACTACAGAACCGATTTGGCTGATTCTTTTTTTGTTGTATTCGTAATTGTCAGGACAAGGTTCTTATGAAAGAATATTTTAGGAAAATTCACCACAAAAGTAGGAAATAGGGATGTCAAAAATACAACAGCGGCGCCATCTGTCCAGAAAAAAATAAACTAAATAATAAAAAATGTAGTTAATTGTTGCAGATTAAAATAATAATAGTGTATTATATATCGGTTGCTATTGGTTAATCGGGCATGTTTGTTGATTTGTATTATAATTTTTCGTCAGTATATAATATATAGGTATATAATGTTTGTGTGTAGATTAGACCTCCAGGAAGAAGATAAATTAATTTAACAAGGGTTAAATTTGTTTTTTTTTTATTCATGGGACTTTAGTACGGTTAGGTTAGGTTAGTATTTTGCATTGATTGATTATATTAATTCAACGTAGGTGGAATAAAGTAACTTTGATACTCTAGAGCTAAATCATACACTTACGTACAAACAGCACGGGGTCAGCGATATACCGCAGGTAGATTGCCTACCTGATAATATACAGCTGAGAATCAGAATTTTTATTCTGGGCACAACGGAAAAGTTAAGATAAGTTTTGAACACCATACATCGAATATTAAATAACGAATGTTGCAAGTAGGTCTAAAAGAGCAAACAAATATTGCGCTGACATTCTCTTAGCTCACATACCAAGGCCAAAAACTAAGATAACCCATCATCGTCCATCATTCATCAACACTGAAGTCTCATGGGCGCAACTGGGGGAGCTTGGGATTACTTATCATCATAGACAGTGGCGGATTTAACGGTCGTTTAGTGCTAACGCGGCCCCCTCCTAAATTGTGCACTGAGGCCCATCTAAATTATAAAGTTGATTTTTTTTTAAATTTTAACCAAAAAAAATGTATATTTCAAACTGGAATATAATTTACCATTGTTTTAATAATAAAATAATATTTCAAAGGAATATTTCAAAAGTAGAAAATATTATAATTAAACAAAGTGGAAAAGATCGAAGTAAATATTTATATACCTACGTAAATCTAAGTTAGGTAAATCATGATTTATTGAAAACCGTTTTCGCGATAAATTCGCAACGTGTAGGTACAAATAAATATTCAAAAATTTGGTAAACAGCAGAGCTGTGAATTATTGATGCGTTTGCACTATGTTTTTCATTTTATTATGTTTATACAATTATACATTTATTAGGACATTAATTCTTACAATTGCTATAACTATAACTATAAAGTATTATTATTATAAAATTAAGTATAAAATTATAAATAGAGGCAACGAGTAATTGCCTCCACACGCCACACCACCAATTCACTCGCCAACCTAGCCGACCGTTCCGTCACCCACACAAACATACACAACATCATTATTGTTTTTGTGAATTATAATATAAAATGGTAATTTTATCATCGACTTTAGTGTATATAGCAGCTACTAAAATTGTGTGTAGTACAAAAAGTGAAGTGTGTAGTACTGTAGTACGAAATTTAAAAGTGTGTAACTCAAATTAAACCTTATAATATTATGTATAATTTTAAGGCTTCACTTTTTTTTTATATTTGCATGGTTTTTTGTCAAGCTACATTTTAATTATAATATACATTTTATAACAGGATTTTTCCATGCCTACTTTTAATTTTGTTTTATTTGTAAAAATAAATAAAAACTTAAAATTTTTCTTTTTTTTAACTTAAATTTTTTACTATAAAATAGAATATTGGTTGTCGGTTGATATTATTTCTCGCGAACGAAGCTTTGCGAAATGACGGTTAATATGTTACTGATAAATTTTGCAGGTGGGCAGGAGGCCCCTCTTATTGATTTGCCGACTTTCTTTGAACCCTTAAATCCGCCACTAATCATAGGCCTATAAGCTAATAGACGGCGCCTTCCACTTCACCCTGCTCTCAATACACGGGAATCATATAAGAGAAAGAAAGAAGAAAGAACGAAGAGAGAAAAGAGAGAAAGAACCTAAAGGGGGTAATCATAGAAGTATATGAAACTAATACTGTATTTCCCCCAAGTTCTCTTTTCTCTTTTACTCGCTATATCGTACCTCTGACCTCTCTCTCTAAACGCTGTCCATTAGTTTATAGGTCTATGCTTAGCACCCCAAATATCAAAATTAGCACTCCCAAATTGTCTGTGCCGGTTTCTTACAATATTGCAGGTAATAGTAAAACTTAGTACTCTAACATCTTACTATATAGATACTATCATTGATTATAATTTATAAATAGTACCTAAATACTATAAATACTTTATATTTTATAATCGATATTCGATGTATACTGTATTTGTGTTGTACCAAAATTGTTGCCCCCAATCTTTAATTGTTTATCTTTTTTCCACTGTGCTCCAGATCCGTTTCTGAGCATAACAGTACGCATCACTTTTTTTTAATATACGTACCTACTAATGTCTAATTTCCTACAACTATTGACTGCACATTTACATTTAAGTTTCAAGCCCTGGACTATTACCAATACACCGTGACCTGAGCTTGATGAGCTTTGCTGATAATCGATTATATTATATAAGGCTAAAATATCCAAATTTTTGTACTACACACATAGTCCGAAATCGGTCAAATCTAAATTATTTCTAGATAAACACCAGTATACTATATATACTAGTACTATACACAATTTTAGATACTGATATTATGTCACATACATAGCAGTGTTAAGGGGGGCAAAGGGGGTAATTGCCTCCGGGCGCCATAGTTTTGTAAAAGTAAGGGGCGCCTTTGTTTGCGCTTAATATGCTACCTGGGGCCCAAATTGTAGGGAAGGAGCGCGAATTGCCCCGGGGCGCTGAATTGCTTAACACGGCTCTGGTCACATATAATTCATATTATTATATAGGTAATTATTCGTTATAATTAACTTGTATACTGTATAGTGTATTAGTGTATACACTATACAGCTTAGTATATACAGTTATGTACCATCAATAGGTACCTAAGTAAAATCATAAGAAGAAAATATTATTTTGTCCTTGGATATTTTGACCGAATAGGTACCGTTTTAAACGAACAAAGTATATTATATAATAATATGTTACATGATATAACCTTATATAGTTAAATGTAGGTATCTACTCATATAGTGTTTTAATGATATTATAACGATAGGTAACTACAAATTACGACAACCCATTAATATTATAATAATCTTTCATACTCACTGTTAGCCATAATTGAAAATTGTGTAATACGTGTGCTAAGTTCATAAAAAAACAAATTATTTTATCGATTGCAATAAGTTTCAAAATTATTCAATAGCTATACGTTATATACGTCATTTTTTATACGTTTATATTAATAATTATGAGTCGTTGCTATGGAGCTGCTAATAAGCAGCAGCAGATTGCGACTTTTGGAGTACTATCATAATTTCCCTACCAGGGTAACGTTTACGTGGTCGTTCATACCTCGTATAATACCACAGAATAAATGATAATACCATCGTCTTGTAAACTGTAAAGTGTAAACGAACCATAGACTAAAAAAGTTATAAACATAATATGCCACAGCCATTACTAGTATAATGTCTATGATATATTCATAATATAATAGTAATACAAATACGGCACGAAGCCACAAACGCTTGTCAGAATAATAAAATATCACAGAAGTAGTATATAAAGTTTAGACAGTATTGATGTCTGTGTGTAGACATGGACAATAGGTGGTCTCAAGCTAAATTTAACGTCACATCTTGAACGAAAACGTTTGAGCAACTTTTCCATGACAATTCTCGAGTTCGGTCGACGTTATCGTTATACAATAGAATAATGGACATTATGATTGATATTATGACTTTTCCTCAAGGCTCAAAATATTACGAACTATACACCACGACAGATATATCGATATCCATACATATGTATTTTACGCTTAGATACTTATTTTTCTATTTTTTTATTTTTCTATTTAAGATACATATTCTGTGGATGTAATATTTTATATTTTTACCACGGATTAAGATAAAACCGTTGATTTTACACACGGACTAAGATATAAGATATTAAGATATATCCGTGATTTTACACTAACTCGTGGTACTATCTATGATTTTACAGTTATCTGATATCATAATATTATTATTAATATATAAATATTATCATGATTGATCATTATTCATCTGCATTCTGCAGCTGCTGATCGCTGATGATAGAACTATCCTGCTCGTCACGTCCTCACTCTCACACCGTGCGACGACGACCTTTCCGCACGAGTTTTCTCCCATCGTCAATCGACTTGGAGTGTGACTGCACGTCGACGGTCGTTCTTGTTCCGCTCAGCTGTACTGTTATTTTTACGATATTATTATTATTATTATTATATATCGGTATTCGTTACTCACAAATTGCAAAACATGTTTACAGCAATTCAGTTCGTGACGACGTGTTGACATTTCGTTCGGTGTCCATGTTCGATCATTATTGCGATTTGTGGTAACCACTGACCAGCATCTACACCGATATCGGTGATATTATGCGTTAGGCTTGCACACGGTTACACACGATGGCTGCTAAAATACAACCGTTCGATCCTCCAAGTTCTGCCAGTTCCGATAGGTAATTTATTCATTTATAGGCCGTAATTACTAACAATTTGTAGTGACCTAGTAATGCTACTTTACTAATAATCGCGGTTAATATCTTAATTGACTATCGTGGCCGTGGAATGTGATGTGTGTAGTTCAGATGTGTAGATAGTTTGAATTATAGTATATTGCTTTCGCACACTCCGACCACAGTGGTGTTGTCTATGTTTCACAGTCGTTGTTTTTTTGTATTATTATCTATTTATTTTTCTTGTAATTAATAAATTTGATAGACAGTGTAGGATATTATATCCTTATTACATTCTGAATATTATTTTTGAATATTGTAAATTTATTTAATATGTCTGTAGTTTTTAATAACTTTGAAATGTCTTGTTTGTTTAATATTGTATGTGATAACTAACGTTATTTGTTAAAATAAATTCATTAGCAAATCCACTCGTTAAAAAAAATTATAAAAATAAGGTATATTATATCTATATAAGAATATTCTTATACCATAATCATAGATACACAATATACATTATATAATTCTTCCTTTGATTTTAGTGATTTGAACGAATATCGTGATGTAGTTGGTGACATTTCGATTGCTTTAGATAATGATGACGAAGAAAGTGATAGCATAATCTCATCTAGTATGTCACCATCTAAACAGTCGAATAGTGCGCCATCAACCGGTAATAAATTATTATAAATTTAATTATTCTAATTAAATTGTGTACATTAATTAATATAGTAGAACTATTAAGTATCTAAGGTACTTTTACAATATTATATTATATAATAATAAAATTGTTTTGATTAAAAATTTTACTTTGACCTACAATTAATTTTTTGTTAAATTTAAAAATTGATTCTCTATACTTAATAAGTATGTAATAATATTCTACTATCTAATTTTACAATTGCACATTTATAAATTGGAAAATGTCATGATCAGTTTGTCGACATTAATATTTTAATGTAAGACCTAGGCCAAACAAAAGACATTATCTCTCCACACAACTTGTTAACTAACATATATTAGTTAATTTCCTCTGCATCCACAAGTTAATTTTATATCATTGTTTTATTTTAGTGTTGGTGAAATCTCCTCGGTCAACTTTGCGGCAAAGAACAACTTCTGTTAGCCAATCGACTAAGAAAACAGCTTCAGAGTCAGTATTACAGTCTCACACGCGCACAATTTATACAGCTGGTCGACCACCATGGTACAATACTGCTGGACAACAAGTAGAACCATTTGTTATTGGTGAGTTATCTATTATAATTAAATTGCACTTTTGTTGCATTACAAAATGTTATGTATTTATAATAACACTTGTGCAATATTACTAAACTTTCAAATTCTTAACAAAATTAATCAAGCATTATATACCTACAATACAATATTTAGGTGTATGTGGTGGAAGTGCTTCTGGGAAAACAACTGTGGCTAGAAAAATAATAGAATCGTTAAATGTACCATGGGTTGTACTGCTTAGCATGGATTCATTTTATAAGGTTTAATTTATTAATAATAGTATTAATTATATAATTAAAATTAACAACTTAACTAATTTATCATTTTATCATTAGGTGCTAACTGCAGAACAACATGAGAAAGCTGCCCATAATGAGTATAACTTTGATCATCCAGAAGCGTTTGATTTTGAACTCTTAACTTCTACTTTGCAAAGGTTGAAAGATGGCAAAAAAGTTGAAGTTCCCATTTATAATTTTGTCACACATGCTAGAGAAACTAAAACAGTAAGCATTATATTGCTTCTTTGGTATTATCTATTAACTAAAATAATATAAATTTAAACATTTTTTATATTTTGTACTAACAGGTGAATGTTGATTAAAATAGTTTTTAGTGTTTATGTTAAACTAAATTTATTAATTTAGATGTTTAATTTAATTTGTATCTCATTCATTTAAACTAGTCATTCTTACATATAGAGTAATTTTATATATTATAATTATTTATTTGTTTGTTTTAGAAAACAATGTATGGTGCAAATGTCATAATATTTGAAGGAATTATGGCATTTTATAATTCAGACGTTTTGAAAGTTAGTATCATTTCATCAAAATTAAATATTAATTTAAGAATGTTAATGATACTTTAAATAGTTTAACTATTAATTAATAATTAAGGATGGGTCAAATTTAAATTTTCACAAACCTGAACTAAATTCTGACATTAAACTGTTTAAACTAAAACTTAAAATTGAATCTTATTCAAACTTAAAAATTTAACTATATTATAACAAGTTTTAAAAATAAAATAGTAAAACAATATTTACCTAAAACAAAAAAATCAAATTAATTTGTTGTCATTCTCAATCTCAAGCATTAAAAACTTACGCTCCTCGACTATTCCAACTGTTGAGATGTTCAAACTCAAATTTTATTATTTTAATCAAATTTCTTAAAGTAAGTTTTCAAAGATTTAGAACTATACATACTTAATAGTTAATACTTATTATTAATATTTAAAATATTCAGTTAATTGTTTTCTATATTACTTTAAAACTCTTTCATCTTATTAGTTTAACTCTTAGGATTAATATGTTAAACATAAAAAAAAATATTTCCATTTTATAGTTTTTACTAACATGTCTTCTAATCATAATTATTTAATTATATATATTATATATTGTACAGATGTTGGATATGAAGGTATTTGTAGATACTGATGCTGATATCAGATTAGCAAGGAGACTTAAGAGAGATATATCTCAACGAGGTAGAGATCTTCAAGGTGTTTTAAAACAGTATTGTAATATGGTAAAACCATCATTTTCACATTATATCGCTCCGTCCATGATCCATGCCGATATCATTGTACCTCGAGGTGGAGATAATACAGTAGCTATAGAATTGATTGTTCGGCATGTACATAAACAACTGCAAGCGGTAAGTTTAACTAATGAATCTTACTTTCTTTGTGTGTTTAATATTATTATTGCTTAAATTTAAATTTAAGTTGCAATATTTTATAAAGTCTTGTGCAGACTTACCGTAAACATAATAAATTAGATACTAGTTATTAGTTGGTATATATTTTTATCTTTCTGACTTGTTAAAAATAGATTAGAATAAATTAATATTATCTGTGAAGTACCGAAATGTAACCAGTATTAATTTATATTCGTGTTGATTTTTTTGTATCATTTATCAATCATTATTGCAAAAATTATTAACATTTTTAAAAATGTGATTTAAATAAATGCTTGATAAAAGCATCACCGGATATGTTATTGTTAATGTAAGAAATCCATTATTTTATTATTTAACAAACTGCTTTAGTTAAAGTATTTACATTAAAATTAAATTAATACTATATCTAGAAATTATATAGAAATAACTAGCTATTCTAACCTTTACAATCCCTGTTTGAGATCAGTTAGAGTTTATACATCATTAACTTTACTAGTTAAAAAGTAGATATAAAATTTTTATTTTGATATTAAAAACAATTGATTAAATTCAGAAATAATAATGTATTTTATATTGGAAATATTATTCACATAAATTTAGGAAAAAAAGAAAAAAAATACTCATAAACAGTTTGACAATTTCAGTAACCATTTTAGTAATACCTAAAACAATTTCTATATAGTATAATTTGTTCCAAATATTTTGAAAATTCAGCTAATTTATGAACTGTCTAAATTGGAACAGTAGAATACCACTAGGTAAACTATATGCATAACTGAACAATCAAGAGGAATTTATATAATATTATATTGTTTATTGTCTTCATTTGGTTAGTGTTTAAAGTTCATGGATATTTCTTGAAATAACATCATTTCATAATTTAATGCAAACACATTACCAAAACAATTGTTGCCATTACACAATAACCAGCTTGAAAACATAGATGATATTTTTATCACTAATTTTAATTAATCTAAATCTTAAATTGAAAATAACAATCATAATTTATCTGTAAATAAGTATATTTACCTGTCAGACTGAGAGAACAAATATATATTGTCCTCTCAAAATATATTAATTTTTTTCTAGATTATTATTTAGGTCATTTAATTACTATTAGTAGTCCAATAAATTGTAATTAGTGATAGAAATTGTATTACAAAAGTATTTTTGATAATAACATTTAGTGCATTTATTTAGATTTTATCTTATGTTAGTAATTCATAGTAAATTCATAGTATTCATAATAGATTGAAAAAATAAAATTGTTGATAGATCCTTTTCTTATGAATGCCATAATACAAGTTTTGTATGAAAAAAGTAAATAAGTAAAAGAAGCTAATGATCAAATTAGGTTTAAGGCTACATTCAACTTTTAATGTTTGAATAGGTCAGAAAATATCACTTTGCTGCATTATGAAAGGATTCCAATTACCTAACGCAATTTCAAACATTGCATAATTTTGGTTGAGAAGTTAAGAGAAACATTGAGAAATGATAATATACATGCTAAAACTTTTAATAGACTATTTGTAATCATAAGTATTTGTGATTAAATTTCATTGTTTTACTATTATATTTATATTTTATTTCTTATGATAAAAGAAAAAATAATTTTAATAAATTTATCTGTTTAAAACAATTTAAAACGTATTATTCATTTAACTACTTTAATATTGTGTTTTCCGAAAATAATTATAAAAAATTTATATTCACCAGAAGTTATTTTGCATCATTGGTTTCATCATAAAAGCCTATATAAGTTCAAACTTAACTCTAAAAAATGTGAGGCAGAGGTTATACAAAGTAAGACATGATTTAATCAGTGACATTCATTTTTTTACACTTAGGTAAATATGTTTGTGTAAAAAATTTATTTTAGACATGATTACGTTTTTGATAAACAGCGGAGGAGTAAATTTAAAACTTTGAATAATTAAAAAAAATATCGTAATTTCAGATTTCATAGATTTCAAGTAAGTCACATAGAAAAATAAGGACTAGAAACATGACTGATCACTGAACTTATTATTTGCTAGCGTGTCAGTGTTGTACTGCTATTTAAACTCAAAAGCAATAACGAATCACTTACTGTTGATATAACATGTTAAACACTAGTAATAATGTTTGATTTCCTCCTTAAAAAAAAAATTATATTTCTAAAAATGTAAAAATAATAATAAATGTCACTTAAAAAAATTTTGTATTCAACAAATAAGAACATACTAATCTTTCAAAAATAATTGTAAAAGTATTATATTTACTAGTTAAGTTGGTGCACACCGATCATTCATCATGCATCTTTCATCATAGAAACCTATAAACGTTTCAAACTTTGTACTTCCAAATATTTAAAAATGTGACGCAATACACATCCAGTCCTTATTTAATCAATGCCATTAATCTGTTTACTACTTCTAAGATCTTAGTCTTTGTAAAAAATATATATATTTTTGACATAATAACATTTTGGCAAACTGCTGAAGTGGACCTAAATTGTTGAATAATTTATACAAATTATTATCACAATATAAAATGTCATAGGAATGAAGTAATAAAGAAAAATAATTAACTGGAAACATGACTGATCACTTAACTTAATGTGCGAGTGAGTGTAAAGTGTTAACTGCTATTTAAACTTAACAAAAGGAATGACAAATTCCTTACTGTGACTATAACATGTTAAAACCAAGTGTAAATAGTCAATTTCCTCATTGAACAAATATTTTGTTGTATACTTGTATCAAAATAAGAATTTTATCTCAAAAATAATTTCTATACAATTAATTTAATATAATTTTCACTACACATTGTTGACAATATTTATTTATCATTTATTTAGACTTTTGAATTATGGTTTATTTTTGTAACAAGGTTACGTCAATATATATATATATATAATATTATATTTTATATCTAATTAATTCATACTATAGGTAGTGTTGTATTATTTGCTAGTATGTGTAAATAACTAATAAGTCATTAAAAAATTTTATAAAGACTGAAATAATGTCAATTCATTGTTTGTAAATATCTATGGTCGTTTAAAAAAATGTTATCTGTGTAATATAGACGAGTTGTGATTGGCTGATGTGTGTATAGTCATTTTTAATGATTGTAAAAATATTATAAAATACATAATTGTAAGACAGTAATAAATATGGTCTTACATTTAGTTTTAAATGTGACTTAGGTGTAGAAAGTTAGATGACAATTATATTTTCGTGTATAAAATAACTTTAAAATAAGTTAATAAAAAAACAAATAATATAGGTACATAAATATATTTTATTAATGTATTCATGTTTTTAAAAAAATATCTTTTAATTAATTATTATTCTATGTTTTAGCGAGGGTTTAAATTACGAGAAACACTTGCAATGTCTTATATCGGTCAACCTCTACCCAGTTCTATTCATCTATTGCCATCTACACCACAAACGCAAGGCTTACATACGTTCATACGAAACAAGGACACACCCAAGGATGAATTTATATTTTATTCCAAACGGCTTATTAGACTAGTCATTGAGTTTGCGCTATCATTGTTGCCGTTCAAAGTAAGGAATATTATTTTTATTTTTAATCTCAAAAAAGTAATAGAAATGTCTTTATAAGGTAGTTAATTAAATCTATTGTGTTATATTTAGGACGTTATTGTAGATACTCCCCAGTGTGTTCCATATTCTGGTAAGAGATGTGCTAGTGACAAGATATGTGGTGTGTCGATTTTGAGGGCTGGAGAAACAATGGAACAAGCAGTTTGTGACGTTTGTAAGGACATACGTATCGGGAAAATTTTGATTCAAACAAATAGATCTACTGGTGAACCAGAAGTATGTGACTTGAACATTTACCATGTTAAGTTGATTTAATAAACTAATGTTGTTTAAATATTTAGCTTTATTATTTGCGCCTACCTAAAGATATTAAAGACTATATGGTAATTTTAATGGATGCCACAGTAGCTACCGGTGCAGCTGCAATGATGGCCATTCGAGTACTTTTAGATCACGATGTTCCTGAAGAAAATATTTTATTGGTATCATTACTAATGGCTGAATCTGGTATGTAGGTTGTTGTATTAGATATTGTAACTTGTTAAATTATTGATAATATTTTTAGGGGTGCACACAATTGCATATGCATTTCCTCAAGTGCGCATCGTCACATCAGCTGTCGATCCAGAAATAAATGAAAAATTCCATGTTTTACCAGGAATTGGTAACTTTGGTGATAGATATTTTGGCACTGAACCAGAAGAGTACATATCCAGTTAGTGAAGTCATTCAACTGAAGTCCTTAATAAATTGTGCTAAATTTTTATTACGAGTTTTATTTTAACTTACTATTATTTTTCAAATATTAATTTCTCACAACACTATATATTAAGGTGTTATGAAATTGGATGTACTTAACGCAATGTAAGACTTCTAGTATTAATCAGATTTATGATTTAATCATTATTTAAGAATTGGATTGATATCATTGAATAAACAATTTTATTTTATAATGAGTTTTAATGTGTCTAAATAATTTGTATATTCTTAATTTTCATCACATATAAATGTATGCTGCCACATGCCGAGGTACATTTTATAATTAATTATTGTAAATGTGTGTGTTAAATAAAATAATACATACAACTTTATATTACAATTAATGGCAGAACACTCCACCAACATAATGGTCATTAATCACTTTAATAATTATTCTACACTATTATTTTATTATTATTATATTTATATTTACAATATAGTAAACTAAAAGCTGGCATATAAAAGAATACCTATACATGTATGTCCTGTTTGTCCTTACAAAAATAATCTAATAAAAATGAACTATGGGTAATCCAAGTCTTACAGTCAAAACACTTTGCACAGGATAACTTATATGCTCGGAATATAATATACATGAAAATAAAGTTGAAGTGTTTGTCTCTGGTAATCTTCAAAATTACTGAATCACTTTTGACTGGAGAGAAGTTTGGAAGGAATGCTCTAGGCTAATTTTATCAAGAAATTGTTTATATAAAAGGATAAAACAGTTGATATTATTTAATTTAGTTGTCACAGACAAGAATCTCCTATTAAAATTGTTCTGATTAAAATATATATCCTATTAAAATATACCAATATCCATCTCAGTTTGAACTGTCCGTAAAGTGGGGTGCTATAAACTTTCATGAGCTAATAATCTTTGTTGTTGCTACAATAAACAAAAAAAAAAGTACCTACATTAAAAAACCAATGCTTATACAATATTATGCTAGTATGCTACACATTACTTATTAGTGAAAATTTAATATTTATAATTCAAGTAAAATTAACAAAGTTCTATTATTCTACCATGCCATATTGCCATCATTTAATATGTTTTATTATTGTATAGATAATATAATAGTATTAAAAAAAAAAATGTACCTAAATAATATTATATTAATAAGTGGTAAAAATGAATAAGTCCACAACAATAACACTACAGGGGGTTAAAGTGGGAAAATTTTCCAGAGGGGACTAATGTCTCCATATAGTTTTAAGCTTTCCAAATATAATTTTATGTATAAAATCCTAATTTTTTAAAGGAGACGCTTTCGTCAGTGGTATGGGGAATGAGTCCTCCTTCGCCCCCCCCCCCCCCACTTTAACTCCGACACTACCTGACAAATGTTATGTTCTCTATACTATAGTATTATATAAATATATAATATAATATTAATATTTATTACCTATTTATTATAGGTATACACGTTGAAAATAAAAGTATACATTTTTATAATAACCTGAATAAAAGAAAATTAGGTACCTAGGTAGATAATCTGATTATAATAAAGGGACCTACTTCATATCGTACTTAATATATTGTAAAAACAAAATTATTTATTATATTTTTTAATTCTTATTTTTTGGACATTTGTTTTTGAACACTACTGTCTCTATCTATTTATTAATAACTTCCAAAGCTCAAATTATTTCCTAAATTTATCTCAAAATATCTAAAAGGAGAATAGTGATAGCCGATAGGTGGGTACTACTAATATGTACGCTTAATAGTCTGAATACTGGATAGATATTATACAAATCTAAGACAAATTTTATAATCACACTTCCCAGTAGCGAATCCAGAAGTCACCCAAGGGGGGGGGGACGAATTTTTAAAAATTAAATTGTCTTTTTGTTAGCCAAATATCATAATAGAAAATAACGTTAAAAAGGTAGCCCAAGGGGGAGGGCGAACGCCCCTTCTCACCCCCTCGTATCCGCCACTGACAATCCCTAACAAGGTTTTTATATCGATAACTTACTTATTATAGGTACCTATATTATGATAAAAAGAGAAAGATGGAAGATTTTCAAATGACCGACTAACAAATATAGATTTATTATGGCATTATGTTCATATAAAAACTTAAACTTAAACTTCCAGCAACGGAAAACTATATATTATTAGTAAATAGTAATATTACTATGATGACAGCTGTAATGTTGCTTGGTTTGCAAATTTCCGGTTTCTGCGTAGGTATCAATGGCGGCGATTTTGGCGTCCGGAAATCAGATATACCTACTATAGAAATTTATTTTCATTATCAACTTACAAACATACAATATTAATAAAAATAATAATAATAATAATAATAAATAATAATAGGTACTGTATAAGTTTACTGTATATTGTATGTGGGTAGGTCGTAGCAGTCGTAGGTACACTAATGCTGTATTATTATGTCAAATCGATATATCGTATACCTAATGTCTATGGCGGCGCGACTATTTCTATCATGGCATATACCTACACATAAGTACATAAGCTAACGAGTAACGACTAACCTAAGGTAGTAAGGTGTATAAAATATAGTGGTAAGCCCTTCTAGTTTCTACCCCTCAAATAATTTACCAATTAATAAACAACATAATATAATATAACATAATATGTATTATCATTGAGTATAGATCTATACTCAATGGTATTATGTAATGAATATAACGATAGTCGATACCTATATATATTATATATAAATACATGCAGTAGACGTCGCTTCTGATGAGTCGACTCTGAGCTCAGTGAGTCCAATATATGCAAAGAATCAATATGCCAGTGGCGGCTCGTGGGTTTTTAATGAAGTAGTGCACATCCAAAAAAAAAATAGAAGCAATATTAGGTATATATTGTATTAAATATTTTTTTTACAAATTTTAGTTATTTACCAATTAGCTTTTATTTTGTTTATATTTTTAAACAGAAACACGATTGTTGTTTTGAATTTCCGATAATTATCGACTATAATCGGAAACATAATAAACGAATGAGAGTAAAAATAAATTATAATGCCTATGCCTATGCCGACGCTCAACGGCTAATAAAATAATTTGCTGAAAACAATTTAATTGATTATGTGCACAAAACGAATGTGCACTCATCAATTCCATTATAACGCGGCCTGCGTGTTTCGACTTGTTTTAATTTTTACACCGTACAAAATATAGTCCAGTGAAGGAGTGAGGTGTAAAGTGCTTGAGCAGGTAACTTAGCGATTCCTTCGGAAACTTGTTCAGGGGGCTTAGAGTGTTAACATACCAAAATACCTAGATGGTAAGTCGGAGGGGGGAGGGGATTAAAGATACGCATTTTGGGTTTTTCGTTTATATCTCGAAAACGGTTCATCGGAGGGAAATTTTTTTGTATAACAAAATAAAGCTCATGAAATTATCTAAAATGTTTATGTAATGTGTTTTTTTCAAATTCGCAACCGTTTTTGAGTTACACCTTCGAATAAAATAGAATATTACAAAAAAATTGTTCGTTTATAAATAGGTTTAGACAATATTATGGATTGTTTGACGAATATAGTGAGGTAAAATGATTTTTTTTGTAATATTCTACCACCTAGGTGTCAGGACTTTTGATATGTTAATACCCTAAGCCCCCTGAACAAGTTTCCGAAGGAATCGCTAAGTTACCTGTTCACGCACTCTATCACTCCTTTCGGGTCATTCATTGACTGGACTAATAGGGGAGAATGGGGGAATACCGGTCAGTGGGTAACACCGGTCACCTTGTTATCCAATAATCCAGTGAATCTAAAATTATGTTGAAAATACAAAAATGTTAAGAATGATAACAAAAGCTTATTCTTATCGAAACGATATTATCAAAGGACTTTTATAGAGATAATTTTTCAAAAAAAAAAATGTCTTGCAATCTCAATTAAGGTAAAAATATTTATAATATATTTCTACTTTATAGATGTACATATAAAACAGAATATGGAGATTATGATTATGCATTCAAATCATGTAATAAATGAAAAAATATTTTCTAATTATTTGTCAAAAGGGGAAATAGGTACCAGTCAGTATAATATTATATAATATAATATAATGTGTGTGTTGATAAACAATGATATAACTCAGTATTATCTATTGGTATAGGTTTTCAGTATCTATCTAATATCTATGAGGAAACTTTTATTTTAAACCATTATTTCAAAAAATATGTTTTCCCTATTCTTTTGCATGTTTTTTATATGTGTGACCGGTATTCCCCCGGGGTAGGGGGAATACCGGTCATTTGCGTTTTTAAAAAATAATTTAAAAAAAATATATTACTTGTAAAGATATAGTGTATAAAGATCACGACTCTAGAGTATTGGACTATTGGAGCATGTTATATGCATATATTTCACTATTGTATGACGCAGTTCTTATACACTGACTGATGTTGCCATTGCTGCTGCATGTGCTGTTGCTATTGGCCACCGTCCGCGGTCCTCATACCGGGCGGTCGGTGGGTAGTGGCCAAGTGGCCTGCTGTTTGGCGTACGCTATGATGTCGTCAGCCACGTAAGGGATCCTGGCCGCGGCCGTAAGTTCGGTGAGCCTGTAACCGGTACATCGAGCTCGATGGCAAAACTGGACAAGCACGAGGAACAGCAACTGTGTTCGGCCGAGGAATCGTCATCATCGTCTTTACCAAGTGGCGGAGATAGCGGTGGAACTGGCCTGATGTTCCGGCTCCGACTCCTGTTGTTCCGGCCTTCCCGGCGCTGACGTCTGGTGCGTCCGGAATCCGGCGGGTCGGTCGACGACAAAGAAGTGCCATCAGAGCTAGAGGAGGGACCTTCGGCCACCTGAGGCTGTGGCCACCGTCTCGGGCTTGGATGACGACGACGATGCGGCTGCGATGGTGTATTTGCGGCCGCACCGATAGCAGCGGGTGGCGCTACAGCGCCGGCTAGTCTCCGGTCAATTTTGAGGACGGCTGTTACGGTTCCACGGCAGTG